TTTTTTTAAAAAAAAAAAAAAAAAAAACAAAAAAAACCACAAAAAAAACCCAAAACCAAACCACAAACCAACCACATTGAAATATTTTATTTCAGACTGTACATCTGTGCTTTGGTGTGTAAAATATTGTAGCATTACTGCAAGTTATTATCCAAAATCAAATCATTACAAACCCAAGAAAATAAAAAGTAAAGATACTTTTAAAAATGCAAGTAGATTAGTACTTGATACTCGCTTCAACAGTAATAACATCCAAGCCTTCCATATAAAGAACCCCTGTTATTTACATGATGCAAGGCAGTGTTGAGCCAGCTGAGGTAATGAAAGCCTCACAGCTGTTAGCCCAGTCTTCTCACGAAGCCATACCTGGGATTCCTCAAGCCTATTCCTTCCTGCACTTCTGGCTTCTGCAACCCACAAAAGTCAAGGCGGCACTGTAGCACAGCACTAATTTAGGCAGTATCAATTTTCAGAGGTTCCAGTGATGGGCAGTAAGGGAAAATAAAAGTATCAGCATTTTGCTCTTATACTACTCATACAGTCACTCAGTCTTACTTCCATCTTAATGTAGTTTAGGAAAGGAAGCATAATTAAATACTTACAATCCTACAGATGCGTAACATTTTTAAAAAAACTATATGTGTTTGGGAAAAAAGAAAAAACAATTTACAAAGATTTTACCTTTTACAGTATTGTTCAATATTTGCCTCCTTACGGGTGTGCCATTTGTGTTTCTATTTGTAAGCCAAGGGAAATGCATATATTTCTCGCATCGTTAGCAGTTTATAAAAAAATAGGTAAAATAAATGATCAGCCTTTTATATTCATTACAGTATTTTATATTTTATACTCATTACAGTGTACTTCTTGCCTAATCTGTTCTCTGTTTCAGACTGATCAGGATTCTGTTGCAGCATGAGGGTATTGGTTACTTCTGACTTTCATCACACTTACAAAACAAGTTGTGAAAACAGTGGCTGTTTGTTGACTGCACTTTCCTGTGACCACTCTACAAATTCTGCACTTGTCCTTCTATTCCTCTAGATGCAATGAAAGAGTAAAGGTAGGGCTTTTTAATGACCAGCTAAAATTTGAGTGGTCCACGAAGAGATCTGTGGTACAATTATTTTACAGTAATTCAATCTCTTCTAGGTTCAGATACCTGATAATGAATTAATATATGACCTATGACAATAGTTACAAACATGCAATCTTTAAGGAGACAAACATGTAGACATCAAATATCAGTCTACGTAAGGGAAGAAAAACAGAACACTATTAAAAAAGCCTCATTAAGTGTTATGTGTGACTACATTTACTGGACATCTTTTAGCTAAGCATTCAGTGGAAATTATTGCTGGCATAATAAACTACCTATAAGATATAATTTTCTTTATATAAATAACATTTAGGGCATTTCAGACATAATTTGAATGAAGGTTTCTCTTTAACCTAAACGTTATAATTCATCATTCCTAAATGTTTAGGATATGTAGGTATGGCATGGGCTGAAAAGAGATATATGTAACACACCAAATGGCTCTAGGATGAAAAAAAAAAATCACAGAACAAATGTTTAAATATCATCAGTCAGGATGGCAATACTGGGATCATTTCTATAGTGCATAATCAGAGAAAAAAATATTAAATAACAGTATTATTTCAAATTAAATTACACTCTTTTTCTGTCAGTCTAACCCATACTATCTTCAAATGTCTGAATTTTAGTTAAAATTTGCAAACAATATAAACAACATATGCCCTTTTCTGTCTTTGCTTACACCACGTCAATCGATGCACTTTTTTTTACAAGAAGCCTATATAGTGTTTCATAAGATTATAACCAAAATGTACCAAGTTCTTATAACCCTATTCCTTAAAAGATCCATTTAAATGACAGCTGTGAAGGACCAGTACGTAAAATCAGTTGTCTGAAGATTACATAGATGGCATTCATACTGATGTAATATTCAGTGAAGTATTTACATTCTCTGCAGAGGGCATCATGGCTTTTTTGGTGTCAGTGCCAACTGAAGTTGCTCCAAGTCCTTGCTTGTATATTACCCCGCCTCGGCTGAGGTAGGACCCCTCTCTGTCTCATGGCACAGCGCACCAGATTTAAGAATTGACCCAGGTTGAAAGAAACTTTCTTTCTCAATATATTTTATCTAATGCGAATTACTTCCGCGGACAGGGCTCAGCCAAGCAGTTGTATCAGTGTAACAAAGCAGGTGGGAATGAGATCCCTGAGGCAACTGGGGGCTGCTTAAATTGACATTGCTCTTTCAGTTAAACTTCTGCCTTCTCTTTACAGAACTTCTGGCCTTGCCCACCAAAGCCAAAAAACTTAAAAGTAACTGTTACTGAATTGTTGATACTACCTTGAATCTGCAGGACATAGAATGGGGTTGGACATTTCAGGTCGGAGAGAAAAGATGACCCAGGTAGTCATTTTTACGGCAGCAAAGTGCCTGGATTTCAAATTCATGTTTAGAATCATCATATATAAATTTTAATAATCATAAAGAGTCCCGACCCATTCAGTCTTCGTATGGATTGATTTTGGTCTTTGCATCTGAAATTAAATTGGTTCATCTCAGGGATGGATACCAATTTAATTAGAACCATTTTAGTTAAAGTGACATACTTTTGTAGTAAAGGCCGTTTTGGCCTCGGCTAACAACTACAGTACCTTAACCCTGCCACAGTCAGTATGCAACACTTCCTCTTCATTGCCTTTCTCTTCCAGCCCACCAGCTTCAGTAAGCCATATCAAGAGCTGAAGCTGGTTAGTCATCTTTATATCACCAAGGACTAAATCGCTTGGGCAGTTCACTCGCTCCTCTGATACACTTCATTAAATTATCAGAGAGAAGAGGTATAAATACTAATAAATTATTGGTTAAATATTTCAAAGCTGCTTATGACGTAACTGAAAACTAATAGAAAACAACTGCTTTTCTAAATCCAAACAGTAAGAATTCCATGGAAATTCTCAGCTTGTTTATAAATAACTCCAGTGGTTTCTGTTACTTAACACACTCATTTGAAATTTGCTGTTTGTAATCAGACTTCTACCTTCAAAAATATTTTTAAGGTGTTACTAGTATCACAACAGCTACTTTTGGCTTTTTAAATATACTAAGCAAAGATAGGATTTCTTCCAAAGTCTTCAGCAGAGTTATTCTCAGTTGTTTTACACTTGCCAGCTCATTTGATTATCTTAGTATTCTATCAAATATTTTCAATTGACCAGAGATTTTCTAGTAAAGTACATCTTTTGATGAATGGGCATAACAATATTGTACCTAATGGGTTAGCAGTCAAACCAGAAGGTTATTAATCACGGGAAGAGAAACTCCTATTTAAACCCCTGAACAGACACATAAAATATATGCAACAAACAAAAGGAGGGAAACAGAACTCAAAACAGGAAGGGGGTGTTGTTCAATATTTCAACAAAGGAAATGTAGGATGAAAACTAAGAACTTGCATAAGCAATAGGGACATTAAAAACATTGTATTCTTTGCACTAGATTGTGATTTTAAATAGCTGCGTTAAGTAACTTTTGTGAGGTAAATTAACAAACAAATGCTTAAAGTCAAAAAACTTTGCAAATAAATCTAATTAATCTTTCACAAAGTCAGTTATTTGTTGGTTTGTTTTTGTTTTGTTTTTTTTTTTTTTTTTAAACACAGGAAATCAATACCTAGGTTCTCTTCATTCCATGAATAAAACTGAATATTTGACCTGTACAGACATATTACCAATCCTGACACACACATCCTCCAATTCTTCAATCGCAATGAGTCATGTGAAATTAACTTCGGTTTTTCATTCTTATTTAGAACACTACTGAACTGTTTCACACAGAAAAAAAAAAAAAAAAACAACAAAAAACAAACAAAAAAAACCAAACAAACCAAACCCCCAAAAAAACACATTAAAAAAAAACCCAGAAAACAACAGCATAACAAAACAAGACAAAAAGAAAACCCAACAACCCCAAAATATGTATAAATCACTAAATACATAACTTCAGAATAAGCAATGTATAGACGTGTAATTTAACATATGCTGTAGTATAATCCCTTCTGACATTACTTTGTAAAATACTGAACAGCAGTAAGACATAAAACATCAAAACACAGAGTAACAGAGTTTAGGGTCCAAGAGTTTGTGGCGTTTCAGTATTACTAAAACTGAGAATATGGACCTTATACTTCCTGGAACGAGAAATGCTCAAACATACGGTACAAACCAAACATGACTCATGACATTTGAACGTATCCTGTGGCAGGGTGGGGAAACACGCACGTAGGTCCGGTGGATTGTCTTGGCAGTTTCTGATTTATTTAGCCGAATACAAAACGCGATGCTATACTTCGAAAGGAAAAAAACCACACAATATTAGGAATAACCGATGGAAGGGATGTGCTTTCAGCAAACAGAAGAACTTAAAGACGAGCTGTCGGCATTAGCTCGGCAGGGCGGCCTCGCCGCCGGCTGCCCGCCGGCCCCTCAGCAAGTTTCCTTCTACCTCCCCACGGCGGCACCGCCAAGGGGACAACCGGCGGTTTGTGCGGCGGCCGCCTCGCGGGGGGCTGCTCGGGAAACGCGCCCGCCCCGCCGCGGCGGGGCTCTGCGGGGAGGCCGCTCTGCCCAGGGACAGCGCGGCCCAGCCCGCCACCCTTATCAGCGGAGCCCGACCGGCACCGAGGCCCGACCGGCACCGCGCCCCTGCTATCGCAAGCCCCGTGAGGGGCGCGGGGCCACCCCACCACGGCCCGAGCCGAAGCAGCCGCGGCTGCTGCCCTGCCCGGTCCCGCACCGCCGGCGTGAGGCGCCCGCCACGCCGGCAGCGGCAAAGCCCACACCCCCCACCCCCCCCCCAACCCCAAAAAGCTCGCTCGGCCAATGAGAGGCGCTGCCGGCAGCCCCGCGGCGGCGGTTGGCCAGCGCGCCAGGCGTTGAACGCACCGTAGCCAATCGGCGGCGCCGCCTAAACCCCGGCTCCTCCCCCTTCCGCGGCCGCTGGGGCTGGGAGTCGCCGCAGACGCCATTTCCTCAGCGCCCCCGCGGCGGCGCGGCTGCATCAGCGCTGACGTGAGATCGACGCGCGGCTACGCCCGGCCCAATCCCCCCCCCCCACCCCCTGTGACGGGGGCAGCACGTACGGGGCGGCGGGTGAGTGCGGGAGGGGGCGGGGACACGTGTGCGCGCAGCCCGACCCCCTGCGGGCCCGGAGCGGGGGAGCGCAGCGGGCAGCGGCCGGGCCTGGCGGCGCGGGGCGGGGGGCGCTGTGCTGCTCGGCGCGGCCCCTGCCGCCGGGAGCGCGCAGGGGATGGGCGGGGGCGCGGCCCCGCCGGCGGCCGGGAGCGCGCCCCGCTTAGGGCCTGCCTGCTTCGCTCGGCCGCCACGGCTCTGCCGGGCGGCCCAGATGCGTTTCCGCAAGCTCGGGAAGGGGCGGGGGGTAGCGGGGGGGGGATTCGGCCGCTTGCTCCGTTACCGCCCGAGAGCCGAGGTGTCCGCCGGGCACGGTCAAGCTGCGGCTCGGGCCCTTCCTCCGGAGCGAGGCTTGAGAGGGAGACCGGCTGCCTTCGCCTTCCCGCGGCTCCGGCGAGGCGGGGGGACGGGGCGGCGTGCCTGTCCGCTGTAGTCAGAGGGCCCCGGGACGGCAGGTCCGGGGGGCCCCCGGGGTGCGGCCTCGGCTGCCGACGGGCTGTCCTGGCGGAGGGGGGACACTCCACGCCATGTCGGGGGGTGCCTGGTGTCTTTTCCCTGCGATCCGGTAGGCCGGATTGCGTCCTTGCCCGTAGGGTTTTCCGAGGTGAGATAGGAAAACGGGTGGGAGAGGATCACGGTGGGCTTCGTGAGTCCTAGATCTTGCTTAAAGTTTGAGGGGTTTGTTTGCATCCACCACTTATGTGTTAGCATCTTGTTTGGGACCGAGTGGAGCAGCATGTTTTGTAGCAGTTAAACGGTTCCACAAGTGCTGACAAACGATCCTCTTAACCTGCCGAGGGTCTGGACGGATGACTCTTCTAAACGGGGACCATGTGTCTTCTTCACAGCGGACAGCACTGTCTTGTCCGCATTATTGAGGTGGCAGAGGCAGTGGCAGGTAGCATGCTTGTGCTTACAGTAATGGCAGGTTGGGGTTTTACTTTTTTTTTTTTTTTTTTTTTTTGAGGGTTTTGTTAAGATTTTCAAGGAAGGATGGGGAAGAAAGACACAGAGTTTAAGAGACACAAGAAATTTTGTATTCCGCTGATACTGAAAACTTAACAAGGATTATACTGTCAGATTCTGGTCTGTTGCACTGTCACTCATTTTACCTGGCTGAATGCTGTGATGGCCTTGCCAGCTGGTGTGCTTCACTAAGCAGGGTGATAAAACAGATTATAGACTTCATACTTGAAAACACAATGCTCCTCTGAAACTAGTGCATTCTGAGGGTTTCCACACTCACCGTGGGGTCATCAATAAACATGAAATAGGTATTTGCAAATTCATATTCTTGCTTTCTAATAACTTCCCTATGAATAAAAGCCTTCAAACAGATTTGGAGCAAGGGCTGAAACCTATTTCTTAGCCCCTTGCAATTTCATTTGTAATAAGCCACTGTTGTAAACAGTCTCTGATGTATAAATTATTGTTGAAATAAAGATGTTGATTTTAAAATGTCTCTGGGTATTTAATTAGGCAGTCACACATTTCCAGTTATACATATTATTGTAGCAGTTTGCTTATGCAGTTTAGTTCTACCAACAGAGAAATCTTTATATTAATATTCAGTGATGTAATTGTAAACCAGCAGTATTGGGTGGGAGCAAAAGGACTTTTTTGTGCTCTTTATTACACAAGAACACATCTTGATAGGGATGCTATCCTTTACCTTTTACCTATGGAAAAAAATATAAAAGGTTCACACCTGTAGCTGTAAATTACTTCAAATTTTCTAGGTCACCTGAGCAGCGTTTTCTGTTAGCTGATGCTGTCTGTCAGCACTGTCCCATCAGGACAATGCTATCAGCTGAAGAAGCTTTTGATGTGCAGTGTTTGCCTGCTACTGACCTACTGTGCTTAGTCTCAGTGACTGCAGTAAACGTGCTAATATATTGAAATGGTACTAGCTAGTTAACAGTTAAACTACCTGCCAGATCCTGAAGATTTCTTTCCTATTTTGTAGGAAGAACCAGCTATCTTTGCCTACATTATGGAAAGCCATTTTTTGCCTCCTTTTTATGGGAGAGGAGGGGTATAACGTGTTTGTAAATTTAAAAATCCTGACCAATGTTTAAAATTACTGCTCAGTGATGGTAAGAAACCAAGATGTAAAATGTAAGAAATGAATGTATTAATATTGAATATAAGACTAAAGCTTGATATAATTAATCATACAATAAAGAAAAACATATAATTTTAAACAGGACCTAATACCATATATTTTAAAACTGTTTGCTTGGTTTTCCTTTGAAATAGGAGGAAGGTAATGTAAACTTCCAAGTGTGATGTGTACCACTACTGATACACTTTTATAAAGGATTTTAAGTGCTTGGCAAAAGATTTTTCTTATTTCTTAACTTTAAAACTTAAAAGCAATACATATGTTAGAATTTGCTTACAGTGTAGGGTGATTGTTATACATTTGGAAACTGCTTATGTTGGTAGTTTCTGACTTTCTTACTGCGGTCCATATTACTAATGTTTCAGAAAAAAACATAGTTATGAGCTTGCTCTGTATTTATTCTGTATGTTTATTAACAGTTTGATGTATTAGTGGTAAAATGACACACAATGTAACACAGGAAATACAAAGCCTGTACAACTGGTTATAGGAATCTGAGAGTTTATGAGAGTGGACTAAAGACGGTGATAACCTGGACCGGACTCTGAACTTAGGGAGTTTCTTAGTGTGTGTGGTCTTGAGCTGTGCACAAGCCCACATGAAGTGATGTGGTCCTGTGTAGCTGTACCACTTCTCATCCTGTGAGCTCAAATGACTGCAACTGACCTTCACCTGCAAGTTCACTAATCCCCTATGATTATGTCTACTGAAGATTTATAATCTTGTAACATGTCTGAATTATGATACTAATGTGCTACATTTTGTCTTTAGACATCTTTCTCATTGAAGATTTATGCCAAGATAACTAGTGTATCTTTTAAATTTACTTATGCCCTTTTTTATTTTTTGTTTGTTTGTTTGTTTTATAGGCTATAGCTAGGTCTTTGTACCTGGACAGCATTTTTAGTCATCTCTGTTTACAAACATAGAAGAATTAACAGGTTGCCAAAAAAAAAAGGGATTTTAGCTTATCTAGAAATAGTATTTTGCTGTGTTATAGGGTGACAGTTGCATTTTATGTCAGTCAAAAAAAAAAAAAGCTGATTAAAAGTAGTATATAATTTTTCAGATTTTACTCCACTTTGCTAAAAATTTAAAATAAGTAATCATTTGTGTTGAGTCAGAATATACACCATTATAGATGGAAAAATCTATTTAAATTCTTGAGTTTTTTATGTATGTCAATTCTTAATTATATTTGTCGTTTCACTGGCGTGTATAATACTTGCTGTTGATTTTCTAATTTAACGTCGATAATCTAAAAATACAGTTCTTTCTCTGTACTGTGTGTTGTAAAGTACTAGGAATAACTTTTTGTAGATTTTCTGCTGTGCTGATGCTCTTTTCATAGCCATTTGTTAATTCAGTTACTGGAGCACAGCAGATGAAAAGGCTTTGGGGGAAAAATCCTGAAAAGCAAAGCAGTAAAAGTAAAGAATTTTTTTATAGTGTTCTGCAATCAGTGAGGAATTAAGCTAAAATTTAGAAACTAAGCCCTATTTTTTATAACATGAAGAATGGCTCTTTCCAGGTAAAATTTCTGTGGACTGCATTCAGTGGGAATAAAAGTACTTGGGTTTTTTTCCAGCAGTAGGTTGTCTGTGACAGATGGCTTTGGATAAGAAAATACTTCAGGGCCTGTATAAAGTGAATTAATTCTGACTATATTCCCATCTTTAGCAAGAGATAGCAATGAATATGTTGCCAGTACCTATGCATTATTTAATCTTGGTGTGTGAGCTATTCTGAAGCTTATGGAAACATTCTTACATGAACCAGATAGAAATTTCATGTTCGAGGTTCTATGGATGGTCTTAATTTACTAAGAAGGAACCTTTTTTTTCCCTTAGTATTATTTAATCCTACTACTAATATTATGTTGAATGCATATATTAAACCAGAATTATTTAATAAGTATCTTGTTATGGAAAATTATGGTGGAAAGCTTGGTGAAATTCTCCCCAGAGTTGCTCAACTTCAGGGGATTTCAGTAGATCTTTAATTAGATTGTATCTAGAGAAAAAGGTAATTAGTTGTAACTTACAAGACAGGAATGTGGAAAGATTTTAGGTGTAAAATGTGTCTTTATGAATCTAATCTGAATTGATACTGGCACAGAGTATGTAACTTCTGTTAGCAGAAATACTAATATTAATCCATTAGATCTTGAGCTGTGTACAGCTTGGCTACCACTAGCTGTAGTACTCTTAAGTTTGGTCAGTAGTATACTGTTGGAGGAATATAAGCTAGAAATATGCTTCTCTGCATCATTTGGCTGGATTCTTTTCCATATTTTCATGCCTTTATTCTAGGCAAAAAGACTGATTTTTTTTTTTTTTTTTTCTAATAATTTATTGTCCACAAAGGTTGTGGAATATTCTGCAAAACAGTGCCTCAAAAGGAGTTGGGTTTACATTTAATTTGATTTAACGTAGTTAACTTTTAACATGTGGGACTAAATTCAGGAGCTTTCGAGTCAGGTGTGTAGCAGACTTCCTTTCCTATCTCTTCCATCTCTCAGTACAAGACCTGGGAAGAAACAGCAGTAACTATCAGCCAGTTAAAGTAGTTGAACTTTGAGTTCAGATGGGTTTGCCATCCCCTAGTTACAGTAACTATATCATGCCTTCCTTTTGTTGCCTCAATTCCTTGTGGAAGTTGTAGAGGGGAGCATACACCCAGGGCATCCTGCCTGACCCTATCCTGTCTCTCTTCTGTTTGTAAACTGTCCTGTTTCCATGGCAAAGTTTGTGACATCACCTGTTCGGTGTTGCACCTTCAGTGCAGGGTTTGGTAGGAGAAGGGGAGCCAAAGAGAACTAAGCTCTTCTTTTAAAACACACACCTTCTGTTATGAATAAATGTGCCAAGAGATATGTAAAAGCAACTGTCAGGTAACTGCATTTTTATATAGCAGATATATTTGGAACTCTACGGAGTTTAAACCCGTAGTTTAAAATGAGCATCAGGGAGATGCTTATTCTTCTGTGAAACTTACCCTACTTTGAAACCTGCAAAACAAGAAGAATCATTGTGGGTCTTGAGCTGTGAGTAGTTTACAGATCATTCAAGTGTAGATCCCATCTGGGAGTCAGTATCTCAGAAGGTTTGAGAGGGCTGTAGCAGCTTGTGCCTGCTGGTCAACTTGAGCCTTGTCTGGTGGGAGACGTGAGGCATGAGGGACCTGCTGTGGGCAGTGCTGGTGGGCTGCTCTGGAGGGCTGCCCTCCCAGCCCCGTTGTCAACACTGCATGGGAACCCCAGACTCTGTGCATGTCTCTCCCCCCAGACTGTGTGCATGTCTCTCCCCCGAGAACCATTTCCAGAACTGTTCATCCTTGCAGCTTTCCAAAGTACTTGTTTTAGAGCTCCTGGCTGTATGAATTAATATGTTAATATGGGGAAACGGAAGAAGGGACTTCAGTTAACCTGATAGTTTTGAGAGAAATCTGTTTATTTTCTGTTAGCTGTTAGTTGTCAGCTCCAAATATAAAATAGCTTGGAATTACTCTTTTCTCCCTAGATGCCTGATATACTTCCCTGTACTGAATTATTTAGGTGTGTATGTACTTACTTTTAGACAGATGACCATGGAAATGGTTGAATCACAACATGATGACAATGCAGTAGATTCTGTGCCAGAGAGAGATGCTGGTCTCCATCAGAATCAGCCAGGCCGAAGTCAGATTTCTCCAGGATCTGAGGTAAGTTGAAATGTGGAAAGATGAGAAGAATAAATAAAGTGTTATTCAGAACTGCTATGATTTTTAAATTATTAACTTGTATGGAATTCTCATGTTCTTAAATCTAATTATTAAATAGGAAAAATATAGCAAAGGTATACCAAAAACTATGCCTGCAGTATTTAACGAAGGGCTAGTATAACATCAGGGCTGTTAAAAGGTAACGCTTTTAGGAGACTGGGCTTTTCAGAGTGATCAGTAGGCATTTTTTTTTTTCCCTACTTTTCCAAGATGATTGATTGTTATCGAGATGGGAATACAGGCTTAGAGAGTTGAGGTAGCTATAAGATCAAACATAGCAAAAACATGTCTGTATCTTGAAGATGTGTTTTATACAAAAGTTAAAAATTAATAAAAATAACCATGGTTCTTTCCTAGTTCAAATTTTTTTACAGAAAGTGTTTCATCTTCTTGCAAGTACATTTTGTAATGTATGCTTGTTTTGTTTCATCCCTGTGCATCCGGTGACAGTGTCTGAAGTTCTAAAAATACACTTTGCACGTTCTGTATGGTAGTTACATCTCAATTCTTCTTTGATAGTTAATGGATAAAAGATGACATAGTAATAATTCTCAAACATTAAAAATATGCACTGGAACATTCAACGTTTGAGAGAAATGGTGTTTTTGCCAGTACTAAGGTTTATAGCTTCGGGAAGCTATGTAGACTTTTTAGAAGGTTCTTAAAAAACCCTTTGTGAAATAAAGGACCTGATTTTAAAAAACATCATACAGAATTTCTTCTTCATCAGAAGTTAGAAGTTACTCGGTAAGATTTGATGCCATGTATTTGGTATGTTAGGCACTTAATTTACAGTATAGGTATATTTTCAAGACTGAATACACCTGCTCTTTGTTTGGTCTTCAGACACAAAGTAAACTGCAAGATATTTATGAATTCTTATTTGTTGGTTTTGTTACCTATGGCATTTGTTGTGGTTTTGATACCCGCAGCATTGGGAATACTGTTTGTTTGTTTTTCCTTAAGAATGAAGCATGAAACCAAGAATTTTATTTGGTTTGCTCTGTTGATGTCATCCGCTTATTTCTTCTTAATTTGATAGTTCAGTTCAAATTTTGTGTTTTAACTTCATAGGATGATTATGTGTAAAATCTTTTGATTTGCACAAGTCTCTGAAGAAAATACCTGTGAATTCTGTTACTTGGGATTTTTAATGTTGATGTAGAGACTAAAGCTGTCACTAATGCTGTAGGAGGTCGTCTGCCAGGTCCCTGGGGAAAACACTTTTTATGTTTATCTACACTTAATGCTTAAGTACTGTGTGTGAAGGTTTAGCCTTACTGGGCATGGGCCTCAGGTCTTTCAGTTAATACTAGTAACTTTGAAGTACTGATGAATCTTGGTCAATTAGCACTAAAATGAAACGCATGCATGTCAGTTTGAAGGCTCAGGATAACAGTCCAGAGTTTACATCTGGGAGTTGCTCTTTTTGGTCAGACGGCCTAGGGAGCCAGCCTGGACCTCTCAGAACTGCTTGGCGCTCATAGCGGGAGTCGGTGTCCTTCTCCTGGGTCATCCAGAAAGGTGGGGTCGGTGCAGTTGTGCTGCTCTGTGAAAAGCAGTGAAGCTGAGAGGCCTCTGCCAGCCAGGCCTGTCACCTCAGCCGCCTGGCAGTGCCGCGGGCCTGGCTGGCTGCTCCCGTGCTGCTGCTCCTGGGGCCTGCAGGCCGCTGCCGCCCGCCCTGCCAGGGCCACCGGGGAGTCCCTGCCCACTCCCGCCGGCACCTTGAGGCTCAACTGCCACAGCATTTCTTTTGGTAGAACAGGCCCTGACAGAAAGCTTATTGCTGAAAGGCCTTGTGGTGACATTTCTTTGGTTTAAGATGAGGAGGACTTTCTTAGCTTATGTTCCTACCTGGCAGGCTCAGAAGGTGAGACCTTTGTCATGGTGAGGGTTAGAGGCGGAGGTTGAGAGGTTGACCCCTGCGCATGGCAGGGGCCTCGTGTGGGACATCTCCCATCTGCTTTTGCTGGTATGGAATTGGAAACTCAGGGTATTTCTGAGGAATCTGTGGATGTGCTGCTGGTCCAGTGTCTGTGTATTTTGACTGTTACAGAAGGGCACTAATAGCTCCTTCTCCCTCTTTGGCCTCTGGAAGAATGCAGTTAAGAGAAGACAACCCCTTAAAGTGACTGAAATGTACCTTGTGCCAACTTCCAATTATCTTTCCTACTAATTTTCTTGCAAATATGCAGAAATAAACAAATAACTTGGTTCTTACTGTGTGGTAAAATATCTAGTTATTGAAACTGAAGTCTCCTTTTCAGACATCTATGTGGGGGTTTTGTCTATTTTTTTCAGCCAAATACTGGTTCAACCGTGGTTTTGTTCAGTCAGAAGTAAAGCATTTTAATATACTGTCTTTTAATACTCAATTTGTAGTTTTCTGGGTATAATCAAAGAATCGCAGAATGGTTGAAGTTGACAGGGACCTCCTGAGATCATGTAGTTCAACCCTGCTGTGCAAGCAGGGTCAGGCAGAGCAGGTTGGGTTGTGAGTATATCTGTGGGCCGTGTCCAGTTGGGTTGTGACTATCTCTGAGGACAGAATCTTTATTACCTCTCTGGGTATCTGTGCCAGTATTTGACTGCCCTCACAGTAAAAAAGGTGGGTTTTTTTGTGTTCAGATGGAATTTAGTAATTTTTATTTTGCTTGTTTTTTTGTTTTATTGTGACTTTGGCCAGAGAATGACTAGCAAAATGCTGAGGGATACAGCTGCATAGGAGGTAGTGTTTTGTGGGTTTTTTTTGTGGGTTTTTCCTTCCTCTGGAGTTCAGGCTTTTTAAAGAAATACTGCCATTTATTTTTAAAAAGGCAGACAAGGTATACAATAAAATTACAATCTCTAGAGGACAGACATTGTTTTGTGCTGAAGCATTCTTAATGTCGTTTCTGTTGGGAGGGAGGAGAGACATTAAGAATGTCTGGGCTGGATCACTATTGTGTGATGGGATAACCTCCAATGCTAAGGTGGACCTATTGTACATTTTTACTAGAGAGAAAATAGCATCTTTTTTTTTTTTTTTCCCCCCTAGCTTGTGTAATAGATATTGCTATATACTCCTGCAGTTTTTTGGTGATAAAAGTAAAATTACTTCTTCTGCAAAACCAAAAATTAGTAAATTAGGAACTAACAAAAACGAGATGCGTCTTTCATCCAGTGAGGCAAAATTGACAATTTCTGTCTTTGAAGTGTTATTTTTAAAATAAAAGTAATCAATGTAGAATAAGATTGCATTTATAGCTTAATTTCTTGCATCCCTCACTTTCATCCAGTTAATGAATTGACATGGTATTGTTTTGGTGATCCAGCGACCAAAAGATTTAGGTAAGAAAATACTAATTGGTAAAGATTTTGGTGGTTGTTTTCAGAAGCTGTTGGAAGTGTACAGAACACCTGTACAGAAGCTTGATGCCTTTTCTTTAGGAAAGAACAAAGGTGCAAGGTGGACAATTTCTCAACCTGTTTTGAGATAAAGTATAAAAAAGTATAAAAGAACCTATTTCATGGGTTCTGCCTCACATGAACAGATCTTCTATTAATACATGTAGGGCTGTTCTTAAAAGGAAGTTAATTTTGATTGAGATACTCTGATAATGTTGATGATAGCCAAACTTTTATCTTGGAACAGTTACATCTACTTTGATATTCAAAGATAAATTAGAGGTTCTTTTTGCAGGATTTCTAGAGGCCATATTTCATTCTATGTTGCCCTGTGTTCAGATACACTAAATCTAGCTATGAAAATATGAGGAATGTACTTAGAGCTTTTTCAGACTTCACAAAATACTTTCAGTTGTGTTGTTTTTTTTCCTTAATCCTACCTCTTTGACGGGTGGTTCTTTGAATCACTTCTTGTAAATTTTGTCATGTTCTGTCTGTCAGTAGAGCTGTCTGCTGTCTTGGTCTGGGATACCATCTGTTGACCTAATGGTGCTGGCCCTGAACTAGTCATGGGTCAGGATTTAAAATGTGAGAACTGCTCTCAGAGGGAGCAGAGGGAGTTTTCTGGAGCCTGGAGTACATAGCCATTGTGAGCTGGCACTGCTCAGGTTTATCACTTAAAGGGTATTGTCCTTGTGGGCTCTCTTCATCAAACTTTGTGTTAAATTCTCCTCCCAATAGGTTGAGCCCTGTAGAAGTTTTCCAGGCTGTTGCAAATATGGCTCTAAAACCAGCCTGTCAAATGCAAGTTCCAGGACATTAGCAAAGTTGGTGTTACGGCATTATTACCCTGCAGCCTTGTCACCATTTTGTGCTTCCTCAAGGGTATGCTGTCACCAAATGGTTGAAATCAGCCTAACCTTGTCTTCCTTAAAACTACATGCATTTTTTTTGACATTAGCTTTGGAGTTGACCAAAACTTCCCTGTCTTCAGCTTTCCCTTACAGAGGCGGCTTGGTGCCTGAGTGTGGCAGGTCCCTTGCTCTTTTATTAGGTAAATCCAGGATGGGTTTGCCTTGTTTTTAAATTTTTACAGAAGTACTTTTCACTTTACTTCTGGTGTCCTTGCAGCATTTAGATTCTACAGCAGGGACAGCAGTCAGATGGAGACGTGTACTGTGTCCTTCATATCAGCAATGTTTGAGGTATGAGGGATTGAATGTGAATGTAACCTCTGTAGTTCTGTAGGGAAAAGTTATCTGACCTTGCGTGACAAGACTATGTACATTCACAGTGTAACTTCTCAGATGGACAATATATCTTGAAGTCAGATAACTGATGAGCAATGCCTTTCTTTGAAAGCATGCGTGCCTCAGTATAAAGGTAGTTCATGATCTTTTTTGCTGCTTACTTTTCCCTCTTCCAAGAGGGAGCGCTTATATTTCCAAACATATGAGGTATGGGACCATACTATGACAGAATGCATGGTTCATATTTATTGAAGCTATTGCACTTGACTGCTGCATACCTAAGAGAACAGAACCTGAAAGGACGTTACAGCATCTGAAGTCTCTCTGCCATTGCTAGCGACATAACCCTTAGACACTGCTTAACCAGGTGCTTAATGTGTTAAGCTTCCCTTCTCCCTTTGTGTTCCTGAGTCGCTTCTGTGGATTGTTTTCAGTCATTGTGCCAGACAGCCCTTGCAGTAATGATGTTAAAGGTAGCATTGCTCATCACTGATGTCAGAAAGTCATTTTTTTGCCAAGTCTGTTTCAGTCAGCAGTTATGCATGATAGTGTCAAAAGGCTCTAGTATTTCAGTTAACACAGGAATATTCAATTTGAAAACAATGCAAAGGGAAATGTGAATCAAAATTGTTTTAATAATTTCTAATATTTATTAAAAAGTTGCAGAATATGAAGTTGGGAAGATTTTTTTCAGTCTTAGTTATAGAAAACAAACCTAATACAAAAGAAACACAGACATTTTAAAGTTCATAGATTATACATTGTGTAACCTTCAGATGTTTGTGGAAAATCAGCAAATAGTGATCAAATCAAATTGAGCTCCTTAAAATAGATTAAATGGACAAACAAATCACTTTTAGTTTGATCCAGTTTTAAAATACTACCATCTCCTCTTCCATCAGACCTACCCCCTAATTTAATCTCTTATCTGCATTAATGGGAACAAAACAATTTCTCTTGTGATATTGCAAATTTTAGTCTAAAAGAGTCTTAGCTGAGTGTGGCTTGCCTTTTTTTTTTTTTCTTCTTCTTTTTTGTGTTGTTATACTGAATAAGGAGCTTTTAAATGAACGCAGTGTTTCTTAATCTTGAGTACTGGATTAATTCCTGATTGTATGTGCCTGACCCAATGTGTACTGAAAACAAACTCATAAACTATTCACCTTGTACTGTTTTGTGTGTGTTGTACTGAAAGTTCTTTCTGATACAGAGAGTCTTGTATCAGATTGCAGCTCTCACAAAGATAGCAATAGATGGTAAGGTTTGGTGAAATTGCCTCTGCAATGATTTCAAAAGTTAGCATGCTTTGGAAACATTTAGACTGCTCCATATTCTTTCCTTGAAGCTTGGGTTTAGGATAATGTCAGCTTTGATGCATAATAGATCATAGTCTTCAGATCTTCAAGACTTTCTAGATCTCAAACTTAAATATCTATTTCTGATAAATTTCTGATAATATTAGTATTTGTTTTACAGATTGGGAAAAGGTTTGTATGTTCTATTTACATATTGCCATTTAATGCCATTTAAGGAATGATTGTTTCCATTTCGGGGTTAGAAATGCCCTCAATTGTTCTATTTCCTGGAAAGTGGTTCAATTTCCTATAACAATTGAACAATTACATAGTGAATGTTGACAAGATCCTGTCTCTGTTCCCTAGAAACATTGTTTCTTCAGGACAATCTGAGCCAACATCTGGCCTTTTTGATAGTAGCACATCTTAAGAGTAGTTAAAATTTTTCTCTTGCTTCAAGGAAGGAATGTTTCCCAGACAAGCAATGGCTTATGGATCAGGAATGAAAGTTTCTTTAATATTTGGAATGCAAAAAAGCCTTCAGTTTGAATACAGAAAAATACAAAACTTTCTTTAACTTTTTTTTTTTTTTTTAAAATATTCAGCATTCATCATGTTTTTGTTCTCACTGCCATCTCTTTTTACCATTACTGCTCATACCAGATACCTTTTGGGGCTGAGAACCAAGCTAGGAAGGGAATAATACCGGAATTTTAGAGATGAATCTGAGTTTATTCTTGTACATAAAGAACATAGAAATAAAGTTTTTCAATGCAGTTTACTTTGATAAATACAATATCTCTTTCTATTGTATGGCTTGTGTTTGTCATTCCCTTCGAGTTTAGAGATATTTCATCACGCAGAACTTTAGATCAATCATGGCGTTTTCCCTTTGCTTCAGTATTTGTTTCTGTGAACAGACTTCACAGTTATAGCATAAATATTGACCTATTTATTTGCTCTAGGTGTTTAACTCTTTAACCCATTCATCCTCAGTGCTGATGGTTGAGAGCCAAGGGCTGAGGAAAGCTGTGTGTGGTCTAAAATGTCATCAGAAAAAGTGGATCAGATTATTCATATAGAAAACACTTTTTTCAGCTGTGCTAGGCTTAAAGAAGAGACCGTTTTTCTTTATTTTTGTTGTTGTATCAAAACACTGATACACTCCAATGCTGCTTTTCTTGACACATAACTATATATATATATATATATATAGGGATATATTAAACTAAAAGAATTTACAAATCCATGTATTGCCTTATTTAACATTTTTTTCTTTCCACCTGAAAAGTTCTTGTATCTCTTGAGATATCTATCCGAAAAGCATAAATTCAATCTAAACTTCTTGCCTAACAAAGCAAGCAAAACCAAAGCAGTTCTGGAGTATTTTTTAATTTTTTTTTTTCCTGACTGAGAATGTTCTGCCCTGTATATTGTTGAAGCAAGATACCACTTCAGTGAATATTGGTTTTCTGTTCTTGTTTTTTTTGTTGCATTAAGGTTCTTCATAACCTTCATTTAGCAACAGCAGATTTCATGTATGATAGTTTAGGGTTGTTTTTAATTGAAAAGAAAACATGAAGTCTATGGAGAAAAAAAAAAAAAATTAAAAATTGGCAATTTGAGAGGGGGCAGTTTTAAGCTTTCCATGCCATTTGGAAAGATGCACACCAAACCTTTACTAGTAAAACTAGTTTATTTTTTTGTGTGATAATTACACACATATAAGCTATTTTAGATATGGAATCAAACCCAGGTTTTTTCAGTATTGCTTCTAAAAGCATTTGTGTCATCTTAAGGCATGTTACTTAAACATGACGATTGTAATTTTTGCAGGTTTCTGTAGGTGCATCAAGTGCTGGAAGAGGATCTCCAGCTGTATCTCTAGTGCAGTTGCCTTCTGGTCAAACTGTTCATGTCCAAGGTGTCATTCAAGCCACACAGCCCTCAGTCATTCAGTCACCACACATGCAAGCTGTTCAGGTTAGCTCTTTTATTGTTATGTTTTCATGAATATTTGGTGCTTCATAACTCTTCCTCCAAACCCCATCTCCAGTTTCTCTTCATTCCTACCAGTGCTGCAAGATTACTTGTATGGTGTGGGAAACAGGGAGGAGGGGGGAGATGGCAAACTGCCAACCAGTAGCAGCTTTACAAGCATTGTGTAGCGATTCCTTAATGTTTCCTGTTTATCTTTTAAGAAACTGTGTCTTGGAACCTGAACTTACGCAACAGAAAATTTGTGTAACAACGTGGCCTTACTGTAGCGTATCTTGCTGTTTCTTTTGTTAAAATCTGTGAACATCATGTTTCTAATGAGACTGCCAACTTGTAAATTTGCAAGATCTCATACTGTATTTTTGGAGAGCATCTGGATGTAATGGGAGTAAACATATAATTGAATGATTCCTTATTGTTTTTAGCAGGCCCTGTTAGAGCATCTGGTATTGCTTTTTGTGGGTGTGGATATGTAAAGAGCAGAACAAATGTTTATTTTGCAAATCTTCCCATGTTTCAAGTTGGTGATGTTAGAAGACAGGGACTGGTGCAAAATTTTTAAGAGTTTTCAGAGCTTTTAAATAGTGAAAAAGACTAGACAGAATGAACTTGCAGTGTTTTGAAAATTACTTGTCCTCCCATTGGTGTTCTTCTTGTAGCTAGGAATGCTTTGCTTTAGTCGTCTTAAAATCTGATTGTAAAATGTCACCTGAATTGATTTTTGCAAATAGGATTGATGTCTCTGGCAAGAGAAGCTGTACACCTGTCATGTGTAACCTATTTTACCTGCAGTCATGCAACATGTTAAGGAAAAGGCATTCATTGTCAGTCTTCTCGAGAAGCCACCTTTAATGTTTGAGACTTCTTAGTAGCTTTCAGGTGTAATAAATAAAAAGGCATATGTCAGTTTGATTTATCTTAGAGATAAGAAGAAAACCTTGGCCAGGTATTGAATTTTTTCTTTGTAAACAGTATGTGTAGATAATGGGACCTGTCAAGGTTTTGAAATTCTAGATAGCTATTGAAACAGGAGCAGCAGATGTCAGGAGACTTGGGTTTGGTCAAACTTGAAGTCAAATCAGAGTATTCAAAATAAATACTTTTTTTATGGAATTCTTTCTAACTGTAATTTACTAGGGTGAACTTTATCAGATAATCATATTACAGCAATTCCCAGCTTCTGTCACTGCTTTTCTTCAAGTCAGTATAGTCAGGACATAAAGGCAAAAATAGAGGACTTGCTCCACAGCTCATAAGGAGGAATTTCTCTGGAATCACTTCCCAGCTTCTCCTGTGTCATCTTAGGGGAGTGGAAGTCGATTATTTGTTGTATTGAGTGAACTCTAGCAGCCTTCCCTTTCCCAAAGGAGCAGAGACAGGAAAGCTGTGTTCTGATTAATACTGACTAGTTAGTTCCAGGGTTTTGCTTTAGTTTAATTTGTGCATGGTAACAGCAAATAAGATGTCTCTACAAGAAGAGATTGAAGATGCTGTGAAAGACTCCATTACAGAGGTTGTTCAGTCCTTCTGTGATCCTCTTAAGTACTTTATCCTGCCACCTGGCATTTCCTCTAGATCAGTTGGCTTTAACTTGATATCCTGTCTCTGCCAGACAGTGGAGAACTTGGGAAATGATAGCCGTTTAATTTAAAAAAAAAAAAAAAAGTATGCTGAATGTCGATGTTAAAGCTTGCATGACCTCTCTCCCAAACACCTGCAGCTTTAAACCGGTTAGGTGTTCAAAATTTTTTCTTAGAATGTTGTTGCTTTTTGGATGAAAAAAGCTTATGTATATAACATTCCATACTGTTTTGTTAATGTTTTTTTACTTGTAGGAAGGTTTGAAGTTCAGACTGTTATTTGACTTTTCCACCTTCTCCTGCCTGTAATGTATCAGTTATTGGCAGGCCAATATGAGCTCAAAGTTAATTTGTTCAAACACAGGGTGGTGTGGTAAAGTTGAAGTCTGAATGATGTCCAGGAAAAAATGACAATGGTTTCCATTGTTTGGCATTGTGAACATGGTTGCTTGCTATTAGAATAGGCTGAAACATTAGATTTATCTATTTGTCTTGACAAAAATTAGAACTTTTGAAATTTCTCACAGAAAATTTCCTGTTCCACATTAAAATGCTTTAATAGTCTTGTGATTTCCTTACCTTTTTCTCGAAGTATGACTATTCCTGACTTTGCCCATCTTCACAAACTCGGGGCGGCTGTTGTGGAATGGGAAGATTTAAAGGCACTAAGGTTTTGTTTTTCTGCTGTTTGTCCTGGGACAAAATAGATTTTTATTTATTTATTCATTCATTAATTTATTCTTCCCCTGCAGATTGAGAGTTCTGTTTTGAGATAGGATGCCTAGGCTCTCATCTGTGCAATACTGTCTTAGTTTTTAAAGTTTATTCCAGAGGCTTTGAAGGTCATTCCACAAGCAGGTGGTTTTAGAACACTGGAAAGAAATGCCTTTCGGAAGTTCTATTTGCTGGTCAGCATTGGTCTGTCCAGCAAAAGGATGAATACAAATTTCCTGAAGCTCTTGTATCTCTGCCAGTCAGCTCTGAAGTCTGGTTTGGAGGTATACTCCTCTAGACATGCAGAAGTACCTCTCGCTATTTCTGTGTGGTCTTTTTTTTCAGTTAGGCAGGCATGGAGTTTTAATGATGTGTCTTATGTAACACCTACCAAAATGAAGCTATATTAAGTATTTTTACACAGAATTGGAATGTAGTAAAATAAACAAGAGTCAATTTCATTCTGCAAAAACCTGTAGTTCTTTCAAGGTGTAATTTTATAGGTTTGAGTTGGGGTGACCCAGACGCATAAATTTCCATAACCTTCCAGCAGTCATTTTCTGTTGGGTCATGCAGGTTTTGTTTCTAGCACCAAGCACTCAGGCCTGGCAGCCACATTAATTCCAGAGGTCTTCCTTGTCCTTCCTGAGCTGCAGGGAAGCGTCCACTGCACTCAGGTTGAGCACTTGAGCCTTCTAGTCACTCAAGTCATGTTTGTTCTGTGTTAGTTTAACACAGTGCTTAGTCTGAACCTATGGTCTAGTCTGTCATAGTGTGGAAAACTACCTTTCCACATAAACTTTACCGCGCTGTTTCAGTTTGGAAATACTATGCATCAATAGTTCTGAGTAGTTAAATGAATCAAGAAAATAGCATGTTTTTCTTGTTCAATAACCACTTTCAGTTCTGCGTAATGAGATAGTTGCTGATAGAGTGTGATTCAGCTCCAGGCCTTAATGTCATCTTGGGTAATTTTAAGAGAAAAAGAACCCATGAAAATACTGCTAATAAAGGTCTGAGAAAATGAGACATTGTGAATTTGTCAGGGCTTTCTAAACTTGAACAGTATTGCTAAGCAATGTATTTGTATTTATGAATATATGTTGCTAAGTGTATAAATGTGTATATTTAAATAAACTTATTTTCTAAATAGCTTTGGTGTGTTTGTGAAGAGGCTTTTGTATTATATACTGTTATTTAAGGTGCAGTAGTCTGTATTTTCAATGTTAAATTTCACTTTAAAAGCTAATTAAATTATGTAGTATTTCTGTATTTAAAGACATCATTGGTCTTCAGTACTTTTTCTAGGTGTCATTCATAAAGTGATCTGGCTTATTTTGATCTTTTGGATTTTTTTCAGTGGAAGATGACATCTAAGTGGCTATGTGTTGCTAACCTCATAATTTGTGATTTGCTTTAGAAAAAGAAGTCCAAGATCATATGATTAGTGATAAATAAGTGCACGAATGTCCTGTATGCAAACATGGAAGGAATTTTTTTTTAACTAATCTTTTACTCTGTTGCTATCTTCTTTTTTTATGAAGTTATGAATTTCAGAAACTTTGCTATTACAGGTAGCATCGATTGCAGATGAATCTGCAGAATCAGAAGGGATAATTGATTCTCAAAAACGTAGGGAAATACTTTCAAGAAGGCCTTCATACCGGTAAGGACTTTTTATTTTGGTTTTGCTGGTTTTTAAAGGCAGCTTACATATTACAGCAAAACTGTCTGATAAAAGCCAGTGACTTAGTTTTCTCATGGATATGGATTTTCAAACATTTAACATAATTTACATTCTTTTTTTAGAAAAATTTTGAATGAACTCTCATCAGATGCTCCTGCAATACCAAAGATTGAAGAAGAAGAAAAGTCAGAAGATGAAGGAGCGCCTGCAGGAGTTTCTGCAATGGCCATGCCAACCAGCCTGTATCATACTAACACTGGGCAATACCGTATGTTTGCAAAGATACTATGTAATGTTGCAGAACATATATACAGGAACAACTTTGTTTCTGAGATTTCCACAATGAAGTAGAGATGTTGGATTCTGGTTAACAAGAATGAGAGTTTCTGTATTTCTAAATAATTTCAGTTTTTATATTTAATGTTTCCTAACATGTTCTTTATAGACTTTTAGTGTCTTGTGATGTTTGTTGGTTGCTAGATTTAGTCCTCCTAGAACTCCAGTGCATTAAAAATGTATAAGCGAGGTTCGGGTGAAATGAAAAATGCTGACACTTCAGTGTGAATGTTTAGTGTTATAAATTATTGCAGTTTCAAATTACTGTGATTTGTTATGTATTAGTGCTATTCGTTACATGAAATGACAGTGAGTTAGACTTTTTGAAAGTGTACAGTTGGAGTATGAAATTATTTCTTAACTTTGAATTTTCTTTCTTAAAAGAACTATGTCTCTTCCTCTCCAATTGTCAAGTATGAACACTTTAACTGCAGAATTAAACTAAATCATGGTCTCCAACATTTGATACTTCATCCGAATGCAAGTTGAAAGTCAGATTCACAGTTCTGTTCTGTATGTTTTTATTTTTTTTTTTTATTATTCATTCATGAATTTAGAAGTGCTGCATAACTTGCTCCCCATAGCTTCTTTGGGCTTAATCATATATCATCTAAGGGACAACCTTCTAATAACACTTTTTTCAATTATGTATTGGTTAAAGCTTCACTTGTACAGTTGTTTTTTTTTTTTTTTATGTCTTCTCATGTGTAGACACAATGAAAGGCAGGTATTTTTCCTTTGATATAATGACAGGAAAATTGCAAAAGAAAGTTGGGGTATTTTTTCCTGAAATGAGAAAAGAGGAATATTGTTAAAATATTGCAGTGGCATACAAGAGAGGATAGAATGGCTCTCTAGTCTTATTCTAGTTACCCTTAGAATTCTTCAGTTACTTTTAATTTATGCAACAGAAGTAATTATTAACTCCAAGAAAGCAGAATTTGCCTATAATATTATCTACCCCTTCAGCATAGAAAATAATTTTGGTTGGGCTCCTAAGCTGCTTTACTTACCTGTTCTGTAAATTACAGACATAAATGTCTGCTTCAAGATGTCCAGCATCTGAAGTGCTCTTTTCTGTGGACTTGTGGTCATGCTAAATTACAGTTATCTGGTATAGAATCTGGCAGATATTCTTGACCAAATGAAATTATTTTCTTCAATTTTTTAATTATATTTTTTGTCTGGCTTAGGTTTAGTTAAAAAAAAAAAGTTTGCAGTTTCAGGGTTTAAAAAGAAGTGCTATAGTGTATGTACTGTGTTCTAGCGATCCTTCAAGCGTTTAGGATTTCGAAAACATTACAAGTTTCGGTTTCTTAATCATAGATTCCTCTATGAAACTGGAGTTGTACATTTACTGACAGTGCCTTGCAGGATGTGATTCTTAATTGAGGATGTTTTAATTTGAACATAGCTATAAATCATAGTGACAAGGAAGTATATAAAAGAATAATGAAATTCACAGTTTTTGTTTTCGTGTTCAATCAAACATTTACTTCTGAAAAATCAAGCAACGGAGAGCATCACCAACAATGTGCTTGAATTAAGAGTCCACAAAAATTTAACTAAATCTCATTTATCATAATTTAACCTTGGCTTTTGCAGAAGCCAAACATAGAAGATTTCTGTTGTATGCTACTTGTTCTTTGAATTAAGTTATAGTCACAGTCTAAAACATGTGCTGTATATTTGAGGTAATTTAACTTGTCAAATAGGTTTTCAGCCATAATAGAGCGTTGCTTCATGATGCAATGTCAGCCTTCATGGGTTCTACTAATTCTGGCTCCAAAACCTTGTTTTGAGTGCTTTGTCTGGAAATGGTTTTTCTTACCCAGTTTATTAGTTCATCACTTTGATTTTTTTTTTTTTTTTTTTTTAAGTTCAACTTTGTAAGTTAAAATAACATACATCTTCTGTTTCACTGAAGTCTGTGTCTTATCTCTAATTCTGGTTAGGAAAAATTGGTAACAAGTGGTAGCAAGGATTGTTGTCTCCTTGTAGTAGAGGGGTTCTTAATTTGGAATTTACCAAAGAGGGCTTGACTGTTGACTTCTAGTCCTTACATGTGTAAGGCACATATCTGCAGCATTTCTGAGCAGCTGTCCTGTCAGCTGCCTGCAATCCTCAGGAACTGCTGTTAGTTAAAACTGGGAACACTGTGTGGGAATGCAGCATCTCCTGTGTTGCTTTCAGTCTGGATATGATGCAGAAGATCACTACATGTATCTATTTTATCTTTGTCTCCCGTCAATATCTCTATTTCTGCTTATTATTATTGTATCTGAGTACTCCTCTCTTCTTGGCCAGTATTGGTTGCATGGCTTCTCTTGTGCAACCATCCAGCAGTTTATGCATTGAGCTTGTACACTGTCCATGGCAATGAAGACTTGTTCTTTCAGTGTCAGTACAACCATATGTGCTGTGCCATTGTTTAAAACAGATATCAGTTGTTACTACAATAGCTGATTCCTTATTTTCTCCACAGTTTTCTCTATTCCTGCATAGGAAAGGCCATTTAGTTGAAAAGATAATTTTGACTATAGGTTGGTGTCTGGATGTCTGGGATGACCATTTTTGAAAGAACTCAATAAGTAAATTTTTCTGAAGAGCAAATATTTTTTTTCTCTTTTTCTGTTAGCAGCAGCAATGGCTGTTCTTTGATTACTTTTTACCAGCCAAAACGGTATGTTGCTATGGTTTCCAAATATCTTTTTTCTCAGAGCTTCTTGGCTTTGTCTTATGGAAGCAGACAGACTGACAGGTATGACCAGCTAGATAAAATGTCTTTCCAAGTTACCTCCATCAACCTGTGTGTTATCTTTCTGTAAGGGGTATGGATAGTTTTGCATAAGGCAGTGTCTTGTATATGAGTGTTGTAGCGTGACCTGACTACAAACCTACCCTGTTGGCTGTAGTTGTCATGTTTGTTATTGAATACTGAAAAAAAATGTCTTTGCCTCACCTGTGATGGTGGTCCAACAGTGCGATAGTTGTTTGTTCAGTTGGAGTGTGTGAATTGACACAACCCCACTGTTGCTTACTTGTGAACATCATGTTGTTCTGTATCAAACAATGCAGGGGAAACAAAAATTGCTATTTATTTTGACATCTAGGGGACTTCTTACAAAGGTATGTAGTGGTAGGACAAGAGGTAGATTTAGATTAGATGTAAGGAAGTGATAGGATGTAGATTTAGATTAGATGTAAGGAAGAAAATCTTCACTGTGAGGGTGGTGAGGCGCTGGCACAGGTTGCCCAGAGAGGAGGTGGCTGTCCCCTCCATGGGAGTGTTCAAAGTCAAGTTGGATGGGGCTTTGAGCAACCTGGTCTAGTGGAAGGTGTCCCTGCCCATGACAGGGGGGTTGGAACTAGATGATTTTTAAGGTCCCTTCCAACCCAAACCATTCTGTGGTTCTATGATATTTCTGCTCGTAACAAAGACAATGCCACATTCAAAAGGAATATAGAATTAATGACTTCTCTAGAGAATTTGATTTTTGTCTAAATACTAATTATGGTAAACAACACTGTGATTTTTTTTTTTTAATGGGGAAATTATATTTGTATTTTTCATATTGCTGATTACATGGGGGAAAACCAACAGCTTTGTTCTGTTTTTCTTTTTACTTAAGTATTGGACTCTTTACAGCTCTGTAGAGCTTGGAAAAACATTGTTGGGCTAGACTTTCTCTCACACTAAGGAAAGAATTGAGAGTGTCAGAAGGCTTGCTCTTCCTTTGTCTAGTTGTCCTGTTTTTTGTTTTGTGGCAGTTGATAAACATTGCCCTTTTTTTTTTTAAATAACTTTTTTACATTAGTGTTTAAAACAGCAATGATTATGAATGGCTAGGAGCTACTATTTTTTATTTTTAAAAGGGAGGTGTGCTTTTTAATGTGTTATATCTCTTTCTATTGCCTAACTCTTCTTTTCCTTTTTGTGTTTAGTTACTATAACTCAGGGTGGTACAATCCAGATTTCTAATCCAGCCTCTGATGGTGTCCATGGACTACAGACATTAACAATGACAAATTCAGGAGCTCCTCAGCCAGGTGCTACCATTGTGCAATATGCAGGACAATCACCTGATGGCACACAACAGTTTTTTGTTCCTGGAAGCCAAGTTGTTGTTCAAGGTATATTTTATTAGTCTACTGCATTTTATTTTTTTCATATAGAACAATTTTTCTTAAAAGGCTTTTTATTTTGTGTTGACACTATTGCACTATTAAATAGAATATTTATGCATAACAAGATGAAAGACAGTCTTAGGAGGAGATTCGGTTTCTCTGCTCAGTAAAGCCACTAGTTCTTTTGGTTAAAAACGTTATGAGGAGTAAATAACAGTACAAAATCAATTTCTGCTTTGAATCCTCTTGTCCAGACTTTGAGAGATATGTTTAATTGCACTAAAGGTGCTGTAACAGATTGAAGTGAGATGCTGAGGGTGCTTCTCTTTTAATATATGAAATAAATTTTGTTTTTTTCAGCAGTTTATCAAGCTTAATAAAACACAAGTTCTGCAGCTCTTTAGCTATTTAGGGCAGAATTTCCTTGCAACTTATGAGTCTTGTAGTTATTAGAAAGGAAATCCTTTACTGAATCTAATTTTCTCACAGAAGAACACTTTGTAGGTCTTATAAAATGCACATATGTGAATTGAACTGTGAATAGTGAATTCTTTAAACTTACTGTAGTTTATGCAGGATTTTTTTTCCTTCCAGTGTTCCCAGCCTTTTGGAAATGCTGAGGGTGATTGAGAACTGAAGGTATTTTGGATTCTTATCAATACCAGGGAAAGTAGGGTTGGGATTTGGGCTATGCTGAGGAAAACCTTTGAAAATGGGGAAGAGATTTCTCTATGGAGACACTAAATTAATGTCTGCCATGGAGGATATAAGGAATTTCTTTTCCCTATTTCTTTTTTTTAAACTGGTACAGAGAAGTAGGGAGGGAGGGCTGTATGAATGCTTTCTTAAGCCAGAACAGCTATCTGAAATAAATAATGAGATGAGCTAGCAAAACTTTAAATATATATTCATGGCGTGGATGAGAGTCATTGACTAAATATAGACACAGATATCTGAGATAGTTGGTGAAGTTCAAGTTGTGATTTTTTTGGTCTGATATGGATGTTTGAAATAAGTTCTGTCTTTAAGTGTCTGTTTCTCTCCCTTAGCTATAAAGCAGCCCAGGATGTAAATAAAGCTCATAGCTTATAGATATCTGAACTTGCTGAGACAATGGTGAATGATACTAAATTCGAATTCTTCCAATTCCTCTGGTTAATTCTTTGCTGAAATCCTTTGTCTTCCCAAGACTTTTCAGAAGCATTTCAAGCTTTAAGACTATAATATGAAAAACCCTTAGACAAAATGTTAGCTTTCATCATGCAGAGACTACTGTTAAAACTTCCCTAAATAGTATTATGAATACATTGTTTGCAAAGCCTTAAGACCCAAATTTGTCTGTCCCTCAAACAAATTTCCCACTCTGGTAATGCATGTTTTCTGAGTATGAATCTAATGTGTTTTCTATGCACGTGCATACACATCCCTTAAACTAGAGGACGTCTCTGTCTCTCCAGTTGACTGGACTATTTTGTATGTGTTGCTTTGATTCTTCAGAGTTTTGGGAGTAGGGATGCCAGGGGAGCAGAGAGAGTAGCTCCTCAGTTGTTTCCTAAAACCTCCCCAATCTGTGAAGGAGCACAGAATTTAGGGATTGCATTTAATATCAGACCTATGTCAGAAAACATCTGTTGCAGATTCTTGCCAATAGCATATGTATTTATATTTTTTCTAAAGTAGTTGTTGATGAATCTCATGTAATAATGGATGGCATCACATAAACCCTGTGCTTGATAATTTCTAATAACCTGTGATGAGGGGAAAAGGATTAGTATAGAAGTGCCAAAGGTGTTGATCCAGCTGAGTGGTATTTCATTTGCTAGAAGTTTACATTTGTAGGCAGAATAAGGGGCAGTTCTGATGACCTGGCAGTTTCCTAATACAGGTTAAGGGGTTTTTGCTAGCTTTAGCAAAAGAAAGTGTTTAATTGTTAGTGAAAATTTATGTATAAAAGTTGTATCAAAGATCATTCTGTTGGAATCTATGTGTGTTTTCATAATATGGTTGGTGATGTAAACAGTGATACTTGAGATCTGTGGCTTGAATTTCTTGTGTGCTTCTGTTCTGATCTTCTGTTCATATGATCCTGAAGTGGTCCTTGCTCCTTTTTTGCATTGATACTTCCATTATTGCTGTCCTTGACATAGTTTCACAGCTGACAAATTACCAGTCTGAATTTCTTTATTACAAAGGCCTTTAGAAGTTTGCTATGCCCTACATACAGTCCAGTGCCTGGACTATTAGTCTGAAACTAATTTCACTTAAATTGATGCAAATTATGAGTAACTCTGTTAGAGCTGAGTTGGGTTTTTTGTTTGTTTGTTTTTTACAAAGTCAGTCAACCAGATCTCTTGGACTTATTTTGAAAAAGGAAGGACCAGGGGAGAGGTAGTCCTTACCCACAGTTACTGTTCTGCCTGTTACAGCATCTGAAATCACTAGCTTTAGGTTGATTTACTTTGGACCTTTCTTCACTCTTTTCTGAAGCTATTAAATGAGTGGGTTGTGGATTCCCCCCCCACCCCAAAGCAAGTAGTTTGAGCTTTTCATTTACCTACTTGTTAGAGCTTATTAAGCTTTCCTGTCTTGCATGTCTCTCTGACAGAGTTCTCTGCCTTTTAGTGGAACTGCTCCAATCAAAACAATTCCGTATCTTTTAATAATGTCCCTATTTTCTATCGTGACTTTATCATTTGGATTAATTAATGAATTCTAGAGCCGCATTTTAATTTCTGCCAATCAATGCTGTGAATTTTCAGGTCTTGCTTTACAGCCAGCTTTGTGATGTTTTCTGTAGCTTTATGAATAATTCAGGGAAAAAGAACAAAGCTAGGCTTATAGAAATATGGAAGAAGAGGGGGGGGGAAAGGTTTACTGAAAAAGGAGTTCTTTGGGTTGCAGTTTCAGTGAGCTGTTCCAGTGACAGAGCATATTAATGACAGTGGTAAGCAAATGACGTCACTGTGATGTCAGTGCTCTTGCTTGTAATCCTGCACATGCTTGCTAGTTTGGAACAGTTCATGCTGAGCTCTGGTAGAGGAACAGGAGAATCGTGTGTGCAGAAGCTGATCATGGCTGTAACAGGAGATGAAACAGGTAAAAATTTTGTTAGTCTTTTACTTTATGTTTTTGGATGTCTAAGCAGTGCATAGTTGCTATTTGTGACCTTTTCTTTTGAACCTGTTGCTATAACTTTCATCTTTCAGAACTGATACAAATAGCTTCTAGTTATATCTAGTCAGTGTAGGATTTCAGGGCAATTTTACTAGTTTCATTTTGGGGGAAAAAATCACGGTTAATGTATGAGTTCTTGCACAGATTGATTCAGATGACTAATCTTTACTATTTGATGCAGGATTTTGATGAAAAATCCACCACTCTGCTTTTAAATTATTTTTTATTGTGGAGATAGTAATATATGTTACTATGCTCATAATTGTTTTTTATTTTGTAAAAATTACACTGCTTTTTTGTTTAACATTAAACACAGATTTGATAGCTAAAATAGGCTTAAACATAGCTGTAAGAAAGGTGTTCATTGTTTCAGTAGTGTAAATAAACCCTATGTTTCCATTATTAAAGAAAATACTGAACGCAAACAAATTTGAGAGCAGTAATTTTAAGTATTGTAACGTCTGCTTGTTTTCTCCTCCACTGTTAAAATGGTCTGTTCCTCAGCTAATTGAGTTCAAAGGGCTGACGTCATTAGATTTCCTGGAATCGTGTTGCAGTAGGGAACTGGAAAAGTTAAACTCCAAACAAGATACGTCAGCTCCAAGTCATGCTGCGATTTAGTCAGTTCCTTTCTGCTTCGTCAATAGCCGCCGGCAGATCTGTGATGTTAACCAGTTCGCAGCCAGTACCTACGTGCTGCTGCTCATTGCTGGTACATATATTGTTTCACTAATCCAAAGATAAGTATCTTCTCCAAGTCGACATTTTGGCTTTTTTTTTTTTTTTATGCTCAAAGGGATAATGATTCATGCCTTGTTTAGCCAGTTTAGGGGTGAAGTTAAAAACCCTTTGATAATCTAGTCCCATCATTATGACTCACAGAAGGGGAGAACAGACTTACTAATACATAGCATGCATCAGGCTTTTTTTCTCCTGGATAGTTATTGAAAGAACTCAAGTGCAGGGATGCTCTCTAGTGTTCAGCAAGTTACTTTTTCCAAGAACTTCCTAATACAAGGGGATCAATTTTATTTATTTATTTATTTATTTATTTATTATTTTCTCAGAGCTTAATTTACAAGGTTAGTTGCACTCTTCCAAATGGAGTTTGGTTTTTAGGTTGGTTTTCTGCTTGTTTGCCTTCCTGTTAATAATCTCCTTTTTGTAAGTCTCAAAGCTTCAGGTTTTCAGTGACTTTTTACTCCCATGCAATTTTAAGGGGGTTGCGGGTGGGGGGAAAGAAAGATGACCTGGGGCAATGTGTTAGGGAAATACACCATCTCCAGGTTTGCCGCTTTATTAACCATCTCAGTCCTATGTCTGGTATGTTAGGAATTACTTTAAGCCTCCATTCAGTTTCATTAGAAACAGCCACAGAGCTTTGTAAGTCTGGATCAAGGTGTGTGGGATTTTTGTCTCAGATGCTGAAATGGAAGGTACCCTTCTCTGCAATATGTAGATACTTTACTAGACTTTAAGCTATGATTTTTTTCCAAGGGTATTTTATCTCTCCTGCTTAAAGCCTGTTTCATCATTCCCAATGTCTTTATCAGGGCAAACAGTATCTTATTGTAACTTCTTGAGATATTATACAAAAAATTATGCAGACTTTGAAGTAGTTGATTTGCAATAATGTATCATAAAGCACATATTACTGCACAGGTACAAGATACTGTACCACCAAAATGGTTATATATTCTTCTTAGGGTGCTGGTAGGTTTGTGAGCGAGCCATGTTAGGCAGGGTCAGACACTACTGGAACCTAGTCATACTATTCATGCAACACGTTGATACTTAAAGTGGTGTTTGCTGATCCCAGCTGAGATAGGGACTTGGTTTTGTTAAGCCATGTTGCAGTTACGTTATCACACTGAGTCCTCTTAACAGCAGCAGTAACTCCTGCTAGCTAACATCTGCTGTGTTAATCAAACAGAGACAACAAAGTTGTTGGTCTTGCCAGGCTGAGGTGACCTGGGTTATGAGTCTTTCCCCATGACTTGATCTACAAAATGGTTCACTTGGATTTCTAATTCATTGTAGCTAATGCAAACTATGATAACATCTCTTTTTTACATAGTGATGATAGAAAAAGGTAGTTCTTACCACAGTGTCTATAAAATGTGTGTAATGTGGCCAGCATAAAGGCGAGCCTGAAGAGTTTCTAAAATTTTATTTTTTTAAATAGTGAGCTGAAATATTGTCCCATTGACATAACTGGGACTACTAAGAGAGGTGGAGAACTTAAAGAAAGGGTTCAGTAATTCTCTTGTAGATGTACAAGACTAGCAAGCCTGGTGTTCATGGTGGCTGCCTGTAGTGCTCACAGGGCTGTCCTGGGCTGATTTCTCTCTCCCTCCCCCATTCCAAGGGGATTATCCAGCCCAGGTCAGTTCACTGGTCCAGTTCATCTTGTAATTCCACAAACACTTTTACCCACAGGACTGAGAAGGGGGGAGGTGCAAAGTGCTTAAGCTGATAATGTTTTCAGGACATGGCTGTGGAATTGTAGTCTAAACACAGCTTGATCCTATTTTTTTGTATTAATTAATGAAGCACCTGCATTAACTTAATAAGAGTAATAGTAGTTTTTTAATTAAATTTAGGTTTTGATTTTTTCCCCCTGTAGCTGACTAATGTCTCTACTGTTCTACCTGTCAGCCTCCCCAAAGATTTTTTTTTGTATAAATTTTTTTTATTCCAAGTTGTCCTGCTTTTGGCTGGGATAGAGTTAATTTTCTTTCTACTAGCTGGTATAGTACTGTATTTTGGATTTAGGATGGAAATAATGTTGAAAACACATGTTTTTGCTGCTGAGCAGTGCTTATTCTAAGTCAAGGGCTTTTCAGCTTCTCATGCCGCCCTGTCAGCGAGTGGGCTGGGGATGCACAAGAAGCTGGGAGGGGACACAGCCAGGACAGCTGATGCCAGCTGGCCAAAGGGACATCCCATACCGTATGGCATCATGCCCAGCATATCAAATAGGGTGAAAGCTGGTCAGGGGGCCACTGCTCAGGAATTGGCTGGCCATCTGTTGGTTGGTGGTAAACAGTTGTTTTTCACTTGCATTCCTTGTTTTTCTTGGGTTTTATTTCACTCCCATTTTGTTATTTTTTCTTGTAACTACAATTATTATTTATTATTACTATTTTTTATTTCAATTATTAAACTGTTCTTATCTCCACCCATGTGTTTTCTAACTTTTACCCTTCCAATTCTCTCCCCCCATCCCAGCAGGGGGGGAGAGTGAGTGAGCAGCTGTGTAGTGCTTAGTTGCCAGTTGGGGTTAAACCATGACACAAGTTAAGTTTTTCCGTTATTTGAATATTGCTTTAAGGAATTAAAGAATAAGTTAAGTGTAACTTAACAGCCCCTGAAATTTCATCTTCTATATTCAATTGCTTTAATGACAAAATTTGAAGTTTTGTTCTGTGATAATATAAAGTATTTATGGAAAGGAATAGGTAAATAATTGCTTATAATTTGAAGAGGGATAGGTTTGTTATTTGTTTGGGGCTTTTTTTGCCTTTTTTTTTTTTTGCCTTTTTTTTCCCCTCTCTGTGAGACAAGACACAAGTACTTAGGACTTTCATAGTATTTTAAAGTTGGGGTACATCATGTAGGAACAAAGTACCTCAGAAATACAGAAATGAGGTGAAACTATCAGAAAGGTATTGGTTCCAAACTGGGGAGAGCTCAAAACTGGCAGGCTCAGGAGCTGAATGAACTTTTGCACTCCGATTTACTGTGTAGCTACACCCCTTCCTGTGCAACCGCCACTACCTCCTTTTGCCCACTAATGCTGCAGCATCCTATTTGTATTCCTCTTGCTCAAGGAACATGCTCCTCTTCATCATGAGCACTTGTCTGTTCATTTTCATTTTGGCAGCAGCAGCTCTCACTGGTTTTCCAGGGGTTGCCAAACTGCTGCTGGAAAGGGAGGAGAGGCAGTAAGGCTGGTACTGTTGCTATCACAGGTAAGGAGGAGAAAGTTGACTTCTGAAGCCTCTGTTAGAGGACAGGGGTAGCATATAAACCTCAGTGGCTGCAACAGCAGGACCATTTTTTTGTGGGATTGTGCAAACAGGAAATAAGTGTGGATGCTCTGACAGTGTTTCTCAAACATCTTTCTCTACGTTGTCTGAAAAAAGCCACGTGGAAGCTTTCACAGGCTTTGGTCTGGCTGGTTAGTAGGGCCATGTGATAGAGCAACTTAAGATAACTTATTCTACAGTGCAGAAAGAAATGCTAGTAAGGTAACAAATATAGTTGTGACATTACAGGCCTGTTAAATATTTAATGTACCAGGGATCCTGGATAACTCATCAACAGCAATCTGTTATTTCCAGAGTGACTTTTGCATAGTTCTTCTTTGCCATAAAGTTTAAAATATGATTCTTCTGTACAGCTGCCACTGGAGACATGCCAGCTTACCAGATTCGAACCCCGACCACTACCTTACCTCAGGGGGTGGTAATGGCAGCCTCACCAGGGACTTTGCATAGCCCTCAGCAACTGGCAGAAGAGGCAACACGCAAGAGAGAGCTGAGACTTATGAAAAATAGGTAAGACTATATAACAATTCATAGTCAGTGTTGCAAGAAAACCCCCGAAACATTCTAATGAAGTTTTCTTCTTAAGGTCATGAGCACTGCCTGTGGTTGACAAAGGGAAGGCAAGAAATTCTGTCAGTCATCCCACATCCTTACAGCATTGAGTATTGGGTGTTAACTTTGGAAAGCTAGAGTTGACCTTATCACCGTGGATTTTTAATTCTAAAATATTATGGGAATTCAGAAATTAGTATTAGTGTTGTCCCTTTCTGATAGTTTTTGAAATGATCTGGAGGTATGCTTACTGTTGAATTTTTTATTCCCCCTGCCCCACCCTACTGACAGTAGAATGACCAGTAAGGGTTTCTTCATTTTGAAACATCCCAGCAAAGAATTGGTTAGGAAAGTATCTGAGGATCTCATTAGCAGTTGTCCATTAATGATGCTGTGAAGAGCACTTATACTAGGATGGAATGATAATTATAGACTTTCCTAAATACTTGGCTACTGGGATAAGTTACTGTTCAGTGCCCCTGTCATTTTGTGAGGCATATTGTGTGAGGTGGCTATATATTTTTTAATTAGTTGGCGTGGACCTGACCATATGCTATAAATGCCAGTCTTTCTCTTTGCATTCTTCTTGCTATTCTCATGGGAATCTATTTTTTTTTTTTTAATGCATAGCAGTTAGATTAATGGAAGAAATAGTCTGCTATGCAGATCTCTGATACATTTAATAGCCACTTGTTTTATTTTAAGCCACTTGATTAAATTCACAGTATTGCTTTGCTCTCATGCCTGTCCTTTATTCTAAATTACTCACAAGGATAGCTGCATTGTTTTGCCTCCTTGTGTTTCTCCTCTCTTCACTTTTAAAATTAGCATCTGTGCTACCTCTCCTAAGCTGCTGGAAAGTTACACACTCACAACTTGGCAATTTATCGTGTTCCAAGACGTTAAAGGAGTAGACTCCCAGTACTCCTAAAATTTCTTCTGGAACTGAATGCTTGATCGGTCACATGCTTCTGAAAATATTACCCAAAGCGTTTAGCTTCAATATAACAGAATTCTGAGCAGAGCTATGAGAATGGCTCCAGACTGCGATTTGCCAGCAACAGAAAAAACCCAGATGCAGGTGGCTGACATGCTCAGCAGTTCTAAAATGCTAATAAATTGTATTTGTTGGGACTTAAATTTTACTGTAGATTGTTACATTTAGGTAAAAAAAAATACAGCAGGTTGTAAGATTGGCATCTAGCTTTTTATCACAGGAGAGTAGTGTTATGCTTGTGTTTTCTGAAAGTAAATTCTTTGGGTTTGATTTTAAGATTTTGACTGCAGAAGATAATCCTCCTGATTAACACACAAAATAGCATGTGACGGGAAGAAGAAATGCTGCTTTCAGTCTTGATGTTTAGTACAAGTCAATACGTTATTGTTTACTCACTGTTTTTCTCAGTTCCTCTGCGTATTAATTCCATCTTTGTATTTGTTGATGCTGAATTTGTTTGAAGTTCTAGTAGTTTTGAATTGTGTTTTAACCATGTTACTGCTTATGGCTGTTATCTGCTGTTCTGTTCATGCAATCCAACAGTTGGTGGTGGTTGTTGTTGTTGTTATTGTGGAACCACATGGATTGAAGGTAATTTCATTTATCCAAGTCTTTGCCATATTGTGGCTGTTCCTGTAGTCATTTGCCTTGTATTGGTTCCAGGGAAGCTGCCAGAGAATGTCGCAGAAAGAAGAAAGAATATGTCAAATGTCTTGAAAATCGTGTGGCTGTGCTTGAAAACCAAAACAAGACTCTCATTGAGGAACTCAAGGCCCTCAAAGATCTTTATTGTCATAAAGCAGAATAACTGTCTTTCATTTGGACCTCGTTTATTACGAACTTTAATCAAGGCATGAGAGGAAGCAATTCTACAGATTGCCATATGAACTTGAGCAAGAGACACTTGAGGCCCTTGTGGAACCCAGTTTTGCTTAGTGTTTTCAGACTGAGTTGGGAGATATTCCAAAATTTGGAATTTTGTCATAGTCTTCATACTCTGCTGAGCTTTCTAATGGCATGCAAATGGCTTTTTTGTTTGCACTTTTTACTTCTGCTTTTTGCAGGGAAGCTGCTAAAGAATGTCGACGTCGGAAGAAAGAATACATAAAATGTCTGGAGAGTCGTGTTGCAGTGCTAGAAGTTCAGAACAAGAAACTTATAGAGGAGCTTGAAACCCTAAAAGATGTTTGCTCTTCCAAAACAGATTAGTAAAAATATTTATTATACTGTGAACTGACTAAAATATGTCCAGTTGCTTTATGAGGCAATACATAGCCAACATGAATTATGGCTTTCTCTTTGTGTCATTTATATTATATTCCAACTCCTAACATTCCCGAAATGCTTTCCTGCTTTTTGTCAATTCATAGCTCTAATTTCAGGTTTTTCATGCTCCTCCCTTCCATCTCCCAAGGAGCCAAATGTTAAAAAAATGTAACAAAGTAAAAAAAATGCATAATTTCTAAGAGCTGTTTCTTTGCCATATATTTACGTACTACTTTTTACATGTTACTGAGTGTCCTGCACATACGGAATATTTTACACGTGTTTTAGATGAATCATAAAGATAATACATCCAGTAATACAAAAAAATCAAACAACCCAAGGTATCTCAGGAAAGAGTTTATAAAAGAATGTTATGATTACATGTATGTACTAGCATACTAGTCTACAGATGATTTTATGGCATATTTTTATATTAGTTGCTTTGTGGAAAAAAGTATTGTATTGCTGTTACTGAGTGCCATGGTTAAAGATAGTTTTTAATAGAACCATGTTGTTTAACCTGTGTAGTGTCTGATTTCCTTTAAACATCTGGTTATTTGAGATGCTTTAAAACTCCTGAGTTGTCCTCTGGAAGAGGACAAAGGAAAAAGCATACCTGAACTCATGACATGATGCTAAGTGTATTGTAAACACCTGAAAGAAGTTGTCTGTTACATGGCTGCTATTTATTTAAATTTCATGTAGTCTGCGGAATATTTGATTTATTAGAGGTTTATGTATCAAAATTCAATTTTGCATTCTGAATACTTCATGGCTTAGATTCTGGACAGTTGTAGACAGTTGCCTATAGCCAAGGGTGATGGTGTAGTTATTTTCACACTTTCTGCAAAGTACTGAGAGGAAGTAAAGGTGACTTAAAGAAGGAAGCTTTCCAACAAACAGTAACTATCTGCTGATTCACAGGGTTCCGGAATAGCCTGTAGGTGAGAGCTGAAGATTTTTTAAAAACCCATGCTTAAACCATATTACAGTTCTGGTAAATGCAGTACATGCCAACTTTCCATTGTGCTTTAAAAGAAAATAGTGCTTATGCAAAATTGCTTCTGGGTATTTCTTTAATTCAGGAATGATCTAATTCTTTGTTGGCCAGTACAGCAGAGTATTCGGGACCTTTGTTGGAACTAGCAGCACCATTGCCTTACTGATGTGGTAAGAAGAAAGGCTTAGTTCCCACTTAATTTGCTTTACTGGGGGGAGTGTGTGTATGTGGAGTAGGGCGAGGGATAGAATCACACCATTACTAAAGTCACTCAAACTTCACTTAGTTAAACTGAATTCACATTTAACCCAGTCTTCACTCTGACACTGTTGGGATGGTGTCTCTGTGTGTGTATTTTTTAAAATTTTTAAAACTAGTTTTCTTTCCTAAATTACTTGAAATACACAGGATAACTTTCTTGAATCTTTTGAAAATCCTACTAAGTGAGATTTTTGTAAGAAGTGGTATTATCTCTCACTTCCTGCAGCCACATCAGTTGATTTTAAAAGGAAACAGGCTGTATTTTGGGTCCACAGGGTCTGCTGTAGGTCTCGAAGGAAAGTGAAGTAAACTTGGAAATATATGTTTCACTTTGAAAATACATCTTAAGTGCTGAAGTCAGCAGAAGTCAAAGGTTCTGCTAAAGTTGGACAGTATAAGTACAGTCTGCAGGTCCACGTTGCAGCCTCTAGACTGCAACAAAAGTGTCTAGGAAATTGTTTGTTGTGGCTCTGGCATTAGAATCTGTTTTCTGTTACAAGTAGGCATTGCTCCTGACTCTCAAGGGATTTGTAAACTTAAGTGGAAAGAAAATTGGGTGTGTGGTGGATGTCTCTCCAGTAAAAGCTTCTTATCTTCCCAAAAGTATCTGGTACTAACCGTAGTTAGAAATTTTCTAGGAGGAATCCATGTCTGTTCCACACCTATGGAGTCTACAGTAATTTCTTTGCCAATACCTTTAAAACATTTTATTAATGTTTATTTTTTTATTTAAATAATTACTTGTGTGTGTGGGGGTGTGCTTTGTTAATAATAGGTGCTAAACTCAAATGCTCTCGGTGTGTGTTTGATCACTCTGGAAGACTCCATTTGATCTGTTTATCTGCACCAGGCAAAAGTATCCTGCTTCAGAAAAGTCAACTATACAAAACCTGACTCATTTAAACTAAGACTAGGGAAAAAAAAGTTTGACATTATTATTTCATTCTCAGTAATTCAGTTTGATATAGCATTACTTTTGATAGAATTAGCAACACACATTTCTGTATTTTAAAGTGAGAATGAGTGAGTTTGGTGAACAAGAACATTTTAAAAGTGTGGTCAGTAAATTAGAACCAAGATATGTCTTTGGTGAATGAAATAACTTATTTGAAAATGAACCAAGTCAGATCTGCAAAAATGCCAAGAATCTGTTGTCAGATTGCTACTGCAAAAATTACTACTTAAAACAATAAATCCAGTTCTGAATTTGTTTGAGAGAGGTACATTGAAAACTTTGTGAGACACCTCCCTGAGATAAAACAAAGATTTGAGGGAAAAGTCAGTGTACCACTGGGATTTGTCAGAGAAATAATACCAAAATACTTATGTGAGATGGGACTGCTAGGGCCTGGCTCTCTGTTCAAGCAGTATATTAGAGGATTAAAGCAATAGATAGCATATATGCTAGGATATGCAAATTAATTTAGGTTATAAAAGAAAATAAATCATATTAAGTCTTCCTTCCATTTATTTTTTTTCTTTAAGTGTCTATATAGCCCCTCGCAGGTATTAGATCAGTTGTGGGACTCATTCTATGTCAGTGACATGTTTTGGAATGTATAGCAACACGGGAATCCAGAGTAGATGCACATGTGCTATGTACAAGAAAAGAATTTTTCTTTTGGCTTACTGTCCGTTAAACTTGCATTTGTGTATGTAAGTCCTGTGCTTGATAGTGCTCCTCTCTAAAGGTAGAAAAAGTGAAAGTGGCTGGAACTATTCATCATTACTTCTTATTTTTCATGGAAGTTGACTGGAATGTAAGTGGGGTCTGAATTCGTAAATGCCAAAGTTCTTGGAAGGTGACACTAACACGTTTTAGGAGCCGTGCTGCCTAACAGTCTGGTGAAAGTGCCTGTACTTGTATAATGGCACCCACATTCTGGATACCAGGCCAAGAAAAGGTCAGTTTATAATGACTGTGTTGAACTTCTTAGGGTAAATCTTAGGGTTTTTATCAAAATCAGTTACTAATCTTTTTCCTGAGGATACATTTTGATGGGAGAGAGGAAACTACTTTCTGTGTTTTGTGATCACTTTTGGTTCATCCAGAGGCCAAACAATCTGCTTGCAAAGAATTACCAAGTCGATCAGACACTGAACTCAAAGTATTTCCTTCATTGACAACGGGTAGGAAAGCTGTCCATTTCAGTTCCTTCACCTCTCATTTTTTGTGTAAATGATAGATCTATCCCTTTTCCTGAAAGAATTATCATCTAGAATTGTACAGTGCAAGTATGCAAATTTATTAATCTTTGTGAAAGGTCTGGGATGTGCCTGTCAATCACATACCAAAGGAAACACAGTATCCGTGGCTGTTGTGTTTCATGTGAGTACGGGGACTTGTCCTCTGTCCCCATTTTACTCTTCAGTTCTCAGCTGAACCAGGCTTTGGGTTCAGTACTCTTTCCAAAGAACTTCTTGACCACAGGTTCAAAAAACACCTTCTGTCTTGTGGCACATGTGTATGGTTGGTTTGAATGCCTTTTCTCACAATATGATGGAGTTTCTACAGAAGAAGAGGATGCTAAGAATGTACAAATAGCAAGTGAAGAGGTGCTCAGTCTTAATTAACTTACTCGATGGCTATGTCACAGTCTCATTTGTCAAGGCTGGGAATGGGTAGCACCTACTTCTCTAATAAAAACATAGCTCTGAGCTTTGGATATCAATATAATTTCCACAGGAATCTGATTCCAATTCAGGTTAGTGAAGCAGAGTGCTTGGTGTGGTACAGGAGAAAGACCTCTTGAACATGGTATTATTCTTAGTACAGAAGCATTAAATTAATCCAAGTTTGTTTATTACAAGAGAATTTGAGCACTGCCCAAGCTTTGATTTATCAGAGCCAGGAATATTGTACAAGAAAAAAAAGGCTGAAATAATTGTGATTTCCTTTCTGTAGGAAAAACACATCCCTATGGTGTGAAACTCTTCTCCCTTGCTGAAACCATGCAACCGTTTGCAAATTTGAGACAGATAGTTAGAGGGTCTGCCTTTACAGGAAGGTGTACACAAGACTGCATGGATTTTTTTTTTTTTTTTTTTTTTCCCAAATAGAATTTAATGTAGCCCAGAGGAAATGGTCTCTTGAAAAATGTCTTCAGCCTCCTAGAGTTGTGGGCGATGAGGGATGTAACAGTCAGCTTCCTCTTAAGGTACAGATTTGAGTCATAGCTGGTTTCTTCCCCCATCTAAATGGAGGGGAGAGCAGAGTTACAAAGAGAAATCTCGAGGCTATCCAGGCAGAGTTGCCTCCTCACTGTCTAAAACAGACTCAGCTGTTGTGACCTGGGAAAAAGGGGATTAAAATAAGTATATTGTGTGAGTACATGTGGGTTTGGTTTCTTTGTTTTTTGGGGGGTTTTTTTGATTGTAAGCTCTGATGGATTTTTCTGTTTCCAAAAGTAATTGTAAATTTTTCTGTCTACACTGACACAGTTTGAAGGACTTCAAGCTCTGTTGTCTCTCACTTCTCCAGGGTTTTCCTTCCATTCTTACCAAACATAATTGCTGGTCTGTATTGTTACACTGAAGACATCAGTGTAATAGCCAAATCCAGTGTGATCTTTCTCTGAATGCAGCATCACTTCAAAGAAAACAAAGGGGTTTGCTCAGCTTCTGGTTTGGATTGACTAATTTTGCCCACAGATTTTTTTCTGTTTTATCCACTTGGTGTTTTGTGCATGGGTGTGTACAGGACGAGAATGTATTGAATGCTGAACTGTTAGCAGCTGATAGAAGTAGCTGCATCTTGGTTGTCAGCACTACTGGATAAAATACTGTTTTATGGCAAGTGGATTTAATTTGGTTGAGATTTGTTTTTTTTTTTTCGTTTCGTTTTTTTTTTTTTTTAAGGCACTATGAGGTCCTGGAGGAGAGATAACAATGATTTCATTATTCTAGGAAAAGTTGTGTTAGTTCAAGTATTTGCTTAATTTAAAAACTGAAGAAAATTAGTTAATTAACTTTTAGGGTAATTTGATAGTATCTCATGCAGACTGGCAGTGGCAGGTAGCAAAAATCAGTTTATTCTTCTGCTGTTTCTAATGACTCTTTTCTAGTCCATTTTCTCAGATTTCTGTTTTTTCCTACTCAGAGAGTAGGAAAAATTCTGGTTGGTTTGTTTGGTTGGATTTTTTGTTTGTTTTTTCTATCTCAGAGAGATAGAGCTTCCTTTTGCAACTTGCTTGTTAGACATAGTTATGAACAGAAGCTATGTATATGCACAAAGTCTCAAAGAGAGAGAGAGTAATGTGAGAGTTGAATGCTGTGTGTAGACTAACAAAAAAAAAACTTAATTGTATTACGTGTGACTTGAATGGAAAAAACAGTGAAGGAAGTGTCTGTTATGGCAACCACTGAGGTTTTTCCTCTCCTTTAATAGCCATATCAGTGGAATCAGGTATGATTAATACATCTTGTGAATGGAATTATAACAATAAAAATGTCGCAATTCAGAAATATGGTTACCTAGCCAAGTAATTGTTTTTGTTTTGTGGTTTCAAAATATAATTTCCAAATAGCCTTGAATGAGGATTTTAATGGTCTCATTTTCATGCTTTTTTTTATTATTTATTTTTTAAAATGTGGTTGTGCTCATACCAGGTAAAAGCTGCAGCACAGTTGTTTAACAAGATCAGTCTGGACCATAGGGGCTTCTTCTTATAAAGTAGTTCTCTTAAAGATTTTGTTTTGTTTTGTTTTGTTTGTTGTTTGTTTGTTGTTTTTTTTTTGTCTTTTTTTTTTTTTTTTAATTTAAATTTCAGCAAGGTATTTATTACATTTCTGGCTTTCACTAATTCTTACAGAAGTGAGAGAATTGCAAACACATTTTTAAGTTAAATGCGTACTGAGATGTTTTGCTTGATGTGAAATCTGTTTCGAAGAACTAAGTTCTCAAACATCCTGGTTGTGTTAACTAAAGCTTTCAGAATGTTGTCAGCTGCCGTACAAACAAGATGATGCTTAAATCCTTACACACCTACCTCTTTACTAGTGAAGTTGTCAAGTTACTTCAAAGATCTGGACATGGGCCTGGATCTGCAGCCTTGTTGACACAAGTGAGCAACCAAAATCTGTTGAGATCTTTGAAGCAGACATTCTTCTGTTTCTCCCATTTGAGGCCTGGCCTCATAAGCTTTTCTGAAGCATGCTTACTAGAAGTGGGCCTAGCATGAAATAGGGCTAGAGAGAAACAGGAAACAAATCCGGATAGAGTGAACAAAGTATTTGAAAGCTGTAGTGTTACAGAGTAACACAAGGTGGGGGCAGAGGGCATGCAGAATTATGAATGTGCATGTTGAAGTTGCTGGAGTTTTTCCGCTTCTGTATTTTTTATGTAAGAATCCTGTTACGCTGTGTAGGTATCAGAGCTCTGCTGTATTGAGCAATTTAAACTCATCTGTAGCTATCTCCCTCATGCTAACAGATCTGTTCCATACTTTCTGTGTCCTTTCTCATAGATGATTTTAATTTTCTAGAAATATTAATCTAATTTCCTGTGAAATGACAGTTAGGCACTCATGCCTCTGCCCAGTTTCCTCTAGTATGGTTTGAACCTAATGGTCAATTTCTATTAAAGCTAATAGATGTGTCAAAGATCTCTCAAAAGTTTATGAAAATAGGTAATTACCAAAGAAGTTGTGGACTTACTAAAGGAAAAGCTACAATGTAAGCTTTGTTGGATATAAGGAAGCTTGGAAGTCTCTTCTGTTAAATTCCAGAGAATTAATTCGCTGTTTGCAGGTGAACCATAGAAAATGAGGTTTCATTAGTTTTATTGCTGACAACTATTTGTATATTTGGGGGAATGTTCAAATTTCTGTGGAACACACCATGTTTATTTAAAAGGACAATATGTTCATAGACCAGGTGTATTTTATTAAAAAGCTTAAATACCTTGCAGATCTAAGATGTTCTGTCTGAACTTCTCTGCCTCTTCACTAAGCCAACAGCAGTTCACTGAAGGGCAATGGAATGAACCCTGATAAAAATACCTGCTGGATGCTGTGCCAGATTTAAACAGTTACTGACAATTTTGCACACTTCAGCTAGACAAGTAAGTTAAAAATACACTGGTTTTGAAATACACTGTTTACAAGAAAAAATAGCCACTGCCTTTACTGTTGCATTGTAGTAGCTTTGAGTAGAGAGTCTGGTAGTTCACTATGTTAAATTTGAAATGTTAGTCATTTCTGACCTTTTGGGTTAAGTTTGAAACAAAAAGATGTGATTTTTTTTTTTCTGGCTGTTTTAGAGTGACACCTTGTGGAATATAAATGTCTACACTTTATTTCCAAACTGCAGTAGATAATTTCTTGTATCTCAGGTGGGGCAGACATGGGACATGGAGTGATCTGTGGCTACTGAGGGTACAAACTCATTATTCCTTCTTTTCATGTGCTAATATGTAGTTAGTAATAAATGGTTTATAATTTGATAGCCGCCTAACAGGAAAAAAAAATATCGACAAATTTTCAAGTTATAGGTTTTTCCTGACTGATAGTCCCATTCGATGAAAGACAAAATGAGAATTATTTAATCTTGATTTATATAAATTATAACAATAATAGTAAAATGTTATCTAAATATTTAAAAAATTATACTATGCCTCAGTAGCAGTATTTGTAGTAGTTACTAGTTCTAAGTCACAAAAATAAAAAAAAATAAAAAATATATTTTGAAACATAACAGTGTGAAGAGAAAATTAAATAATGTAATTTTAATCCAGGTATATGGAAATATAATTTTGGAAATAGAAGGGGGGGAAATAAAAAGTGGGAATATAGAAAACAGGAAAAGGTAACGGCACACTGATGAAGAAAATCCGTTCTTCAGGCTAGATAGATTTCAGTTCTCTAATAAATTGCCCACTTCTGCATTGCCACCATGAATATCTAGTGTTCAACCCCATAGTCAGATCTGCAAGTGGCTGGCTGTATGCACAGATGATGTAGGACTCTGTAATGTAGTGTTTTTCCATAGCTCCTGTGAAGCCTGAACTGAGCACCTGAACAGATTATTTTTTTTTTCTCATTCAAGAGAATTATCCACATACATGAGATGCCATCTCAAGATTTAGAAGAAGGAATGAATTTCCATATGGTAAGTTGATGGGCCTGTTCTATGAAAAATTATAAGATACATGTTTCCAGAATTGTTAAGATATTAATTTAAATATTTATATAATTTAATTAACAGTTATATCAGTTATCATGTAATTTTGAGTCATAAATGTAATGTTAAATTTGTCACAGTTTAAAGCTGTTCTTAAAGTCTGTGTTGCAACTCAGACAGCCTGAAGAGGGTCGGTGTCCACTTTCACTGTAGTGTATGACTGCAAGGCTTATAAAGTTGATTTGCTGTCCCAGCTGTTTTCAGTGTGGCTGGTTTGGCCAACGTTACATCTGGTTGTGTATGTCTTCCCCAGATTGGAGCATTCCTGAGGTTAAAAACGTTATGCTCAAACAACATTTAACATTAGCTCTTGCTGTTTGAGTGGATCCGTTGGTTTCACAGACAAAGCCCTTCTGTTTCCAGTACACACCCTGCGCCCCCCTTTCTAGAATGATAGAAATAAATGCTACATTTCTTTAACCGGTATTTTAGCCCTGGAAATGCTTAAGTCTTCTGCCTGGTCTCCTGCATCTGCCATTAATACCCTGGGGATCAGAAATGGATTTTCCCTAACACAGCTGAGCTCTTCTCTTTTACTAACAGCAGAGGTCTCACTGCCTGACTTGAAAAGGGATGAGGGGAGAGGAGCAAACTCGTGCAAATACTCATTGCAGTGTCTGCAGGCCTCAGGTGAGAGCCATCTCATAGTGGCACAGTTGTACCAGATCTCCTCAATAAATGACTGACAACAGAACCTCTGCTCTCTACTGGACATTTGCCCAAAACCAGATATAAGTGAACTCGAACAAGTTATTCTTATTTCTGCAAGTAACACTTTATATCAGCTCCTTTTAGTTTGTTTTTCAAAGTCTTTTCTGAGTGCTGGCTCTTGTAGCAGAGTTTAAAGCTGCCTCCAGGTAACAATATTCAAGTTTGAATTTTTTCTCTAGAAAGGTTGCCAGCTTCTGCCTTTGGCAATGGAACTTGAAGGGAATGGCTATAGAGATGTCAAAGAGCTTTTTTGAGGTGTACTAGGGTAAAATAAAGGCACATGATCAAATTTGAAGGTAGGAAAAGCTACCTCCCACCAAGAAGGGAACTACCATAAAAAATTATCAAAGCTGTGCTCTGAAGTTTTGTAACAGCCTTTAAATCTGGCCAAAGTGTTTCCTTGCCACTCCTCTGCCCCCTGCAAAGATTTTGAAAATAGAAAATTTCAACTGTACAGCCAGTCCAAAGAGTCTGAAAGAGTCAGTTTACAGCAGATCATGTAAAATATCTGACTTCAATGCTTATCTCTGCTGAAATTCTAAGAAAATAAACCTAATGCTTACATGGGCTTATTATCCACTGCATAAAGACTATATTTAAGACAGAGGAAAACACGATTAACAGTGTTAACATAAACTTAATTTTTGGTTGGGATATGGAGCAATTTTATGTCTGAATTACTCTTGGAAAAATCTTCATATACAGAAAAAATTGACTAGTTTATAAATATTTATGCAATTGCACAAGAGAAATTGTGTATAGATCAAACAGAAAATATGAGTCTATTAGTGCCCCTCATGAATGGACACAATGGTTAAGTATGTGGATCACTTTTTAGAGATTAGTTATCTGGGATCTTGGACAGATGCCCAGTAAAGTGAAAGACAATGGAATTGCTGATATAAAAATAATCCTAATTAAAAAAAAACATTAACTTTGCAGTAATATAGAGAAGTGGTGTAAAAATGGAAGCTTGGTTTTAAAATATGTACTTGATAAGGAAATAAACCTATCAAATGAATAAAAGCACAGTGACTAAATAAATTATAAATGTGACTAAAGATTATATTCCTGATTAATTAATCTGCTTTGAATCTTTGGCAATATAATGCAAGACAAAAATTCAAAAATACAGGGAACGTAGCTAGTACATGACCAGGTAATACTTGGTATGTGACATTTATTTCAAATCAACAGGTTTTGTTTGCTCATGTCAGTTGATAACTGTAGCAGAAAGCCTAGCTGGACCTGCTAGCAGCTTTTCCATGTGAACCAAGAGACACTATACTAAAATTGTCATCTTTTTTTTTTTTTTTTTTTAAGCTACTTATCTAAGCAGAAAAAAAACAAACCCAAACCAAGCAACCAGCTCTTCCCCAACAACAAAAAGCCCCAAGCCCAGGTAGGTACCTGAGGCAAAATGGAGCTTACTGGAACAAACAGAATGGAAAAAATAGTGCCTGCTGTCTTAGCCGAGTATTCACTAGGAGTGGTACGAAATGAGCCTGGAGTGCTATGCCTGGTCCTCCTTCAGCTCTCCATAAGCTGGGTATGTCCAATGATTAGAGAAGCAGAAGTGCCTGAAGAACAGATTGCTTAACATCCAGAACTTGAACTGCAGACTTACTTGTGCCTCATCACCGCAGAGCATCTAGAGGGGGAGAAACATAGAGCAGCCCACATTGGTGGTACCAAAGAGAAGTACAATGGCATTTGTGAACCTGCTGTGGGAAATAGTATTACCTTAAGGGCTGTACAGTAAATTGTTGCATGTCTAAACTCTAGATAGCTTGTCCTGAGTATGGTAACTGGATGTCTCAATGTGCACAAGCTCTATACTATACATGACTACTTACATTAAAATTTGGAAATGTTTATTGGAGTAGACATGGAGATTCCAAGACATCCTAGTTCAGACTACTGAACAGGTTTGTTAATTGCTTGAGGTAATATTTGTCCTATCTAACAATGGTAATCTAAAATCTTGGTATTCTTCTGTAGTCTAATTCTCTATTTCAGTGGGATAGCATGCAGCATTTCCACAGTGCAGTCCATAACTCTCTGAGGATGGATTTATCTGTCCTTGATGAAGCCCCTTTCCTTCCACTGAACATACAAGCAGTTCAGAGAAGATCCAGGAAGAGAGGGCTAACTTTTCAATAGCTGAAGTTAGTCAAGATACACCCAAAACCAAGGTTATAAATTCCTGACTTTTCTCAAGACAGATCAACTTTTACCTTTAAGAAAAAATTCTGAGAGGAACAGCTATGGTAAGGAAGTAGAGTTTGTAATGTCAGAACAATGGTGTACAGACATCAGACCCCAACTGTCATGGCAGTAAAAGACTCTTCCCAAGAGAGGTAAGGTTGAAAGTTCCTGGGCAGAGGAGGAATTGAATACAGGTCCCACACCTCTGGGAGAGTAATCCTGATTCTGTGCCACAGAAGATGCTCCATAAATATCCCAGGTGTGAATTATCTAATTTTAAAGTGTAGCAATAGCTTGGCTGGCTTCATATGTCAAGTTTGATCTGAAAGCATGAGGTAGGTTTTGCAACTTTGAGGCTAACTGAAACCCCTAACGGTATCAGGCCTACGTTCTGGATTCTGGTTAGGTTGAGTATAAGCAGCCCTATAAGGACTGAAAAAATTGTAGCTGTTAACGGGAGCAAAACTGTAGTTGTGTCAGGAGCTTTTAAGATTAAGAACTGAGATATCCAAGTTGATTCATATCCAGTTTTATATAGCAAAACCTTTCTTTAGATCTGACTTTGTTGCAGTATGTTTAGTCAAATATCTTATTGTGTTCTTACTAATTCTTCTACCATGGTGAATGTGGATATAAATACTTTCATAAGTCTAAAGTACAAAGATATCCATGACCATTAAATACTGGATAATGTTAATTATTTTATTTTTCTTTACTCTTCCTTATGAACTAGCATATTTTGCCTTATTTAGCATAACCCATGGCTTAGTAAAAACTAAATTATTTCTGAGTAGTTCTTAACCTTTTGAATGTATTCTAGAAATATTTTATGGATATTTACAGAGTTGAACAATTGCATAAGAATACAAACAGGGCTTAAACTAATGTGTGACTCTGGGACTCTTGGGAATGAGTCAGATGTTCATTTGGAATTCAAAGTACACAATCCCAGGAGAAGATTCTAATGGGTTGTCAAGCTATTATATTAATATGTGTTGGATTTTTGTCAATAATTAATTGTCAGCAATAGTATGTGAATGAGAATTCACTGTTACCTGTGAAATGGTGTCACAGCAAACACTCAAAACTCTTCATAAGGTGTTTGGTTTTGTTTTTGTTTGTTTGTTTGTTTTTTGTTAGGGAGAAAGGTTTAAAATTGAATATGGTACAATGTACAAATTGTATATAGCAGTAAAGTTCCCCAGTCCACATCTCTAATCTAGATAGTTACTGATTTTATTTGGATTCCAGATGTCAGCTTCAATAGTTATGTTATTTAGATGAACAACATCAATTAATAATCAGTGCAGATGTGAAAATGTTTGAAGTTATTTTTGTCTTCATTTGCAGTACCACTTGCCACTGATGCTGGCAGCTTTGATTACTTCTCTGTGCAGACAGAAACCTATTCGTTATCCTGTATTTAAGTGTATGCTTTCAGTCTTACCAGTATGTCACAAAAAAATTTTGACTTAGAGAGTTGAGTTACAGATCTTGCTTCTACCATTCTGTATGCCTGTGGCCTGTTCAGTCCCCTCTGGAACGCAGTGGTTGTCCTGCAGTTTCTGTGTGCTACCTTCTGCACCTCACCGTTCTGTTTACTTACACAGTTTGGCAGACTAGAATTAAATTGATTTGCATTAGTAGGTAGGATAGCAAAGTCTTTTAATTGGTGCTGTCAAATACATATGGATACAGAAATACCAATCAGCTTGTTGAAATTAGACTGTTATGGAAGTTTTTCCTGAAAATGGTAATTTTATTTTGATCCATATAGTTAAATTACATAAATAATAGGGTTCCACATATGTGCAGTAACTGTAGGACTCCAGGATACTCAGTAAGATTGATGGTGGAAGTAACAGCAGTATAGAGTTACAAAACTGAGCTCCTTAGTTGCCAAAGAGATGGGTACGTACACTCGTCCTCCCTCAGAAAATCCCACAGACTCCGAGTTAGTCTCTACTGGCAACCTATCAGCACCTCAATACTTTCTTCAGCAGTGTTCTTCTCTTTATTATGTAAAGGAAATTGGTTAGTGACAAAGGCAGCTGCCTCCTGCTATGGCTGGCTAAAGATACTTGATTTGTGATGGGATACTATTTCATCTCTTTTCTTTTAAAAAAAAATTAAATACCCCCTCCCCCCCAAAAAAAAAACAGAAAAAAAGCCCAACCAAACAAACAAAAAAAAAAACACACAAGAAGCCCCAAACCAAGCATACAACTCCAGTGAAGACTTCTGACCTGACAGCCAAACAGTATGAAACCCCAGAATGGATACAACAACATTAAGCTTCCATTGGCTGATTTTGACCTGAAGAGAACAGCTGGTGTGATGAAGATGCCATCTGGTTTATGGTTTTTCATAAAAATTAAGTCTGAAAAGTATAAAATGAGGTGAATAGGGTACCCTTTACTTGGAAACATGCTTGATACTGTGAATGCTTGTTGTGGTTTAGGCCTGGTTGGCAGCCAACCACAATGCAGCACCTCTCTCTCCCTTCCCCTCCGGCAGTGAGAAGGGACAGAGAGCCAGGCTTGGGGTTCAAGATAGGACTGGGATGGGGAAAAATCCCCCTTTTATGATCACGAGCAAAAGGCAGACTCATTAGGGGAAGAAAAAAAGAACATACATTTATTACAGACACTAACAACACATAACAGAGTAGGATAGTGAGAAGCACTGCCACATCTTGAGAACACCTTCCACCCACCCCTCCCTTCTTCCCGGGCTCAGCTCTGCTCCCGATATCTCTACCTCCTCCCCCAGTGGCGCAGGGGCAGGGAATGGGGGGTGCAGTCAGCTCTGCCACTTCCTTCATCTTCGGTGAGGGGAGTGTCCAAAACTTGTTCCTCCTGCTCCATCGTGGTCCCCCTCTCACAGGAGACAGTCCTCCACAAACTTTCTCTGACTTGAATTCCTCCCATGGGCCGCAGCGTTCCCCACACTGCTCCGTCATGGGTCACTAACTTCCTCTGACTGGATTCTCTCCCACG